TTATTTTATAACTGTCGTTGAACAGCAGACTCAATTTTATGTGTTTACGACTACTAATGTTCAACTCCGTAGCCTTGTAATTTTGAACCCAATTCAGATGACAGGGGAACTCTTGGATCGAGTATTGGGATAAATTTGCCTTCGTTGAGGACTTAATGATGGAGAGCATTTACGTTGCATGGAGAGGAAGACCTCCCACGGTTAGCCTGACGTCAAGGGGACTCTAACCCATGATCAGTCAACCACTGAGGATACTTCACGTCAGCACTGTGGTCGGTACAAGCGGGATGCGGAATTCGTATCGACTGGAATTCGAACCCGGTTCGCCTCATTGGAAGGCGAACGCTCTATCCCCTGAGTCATCGCGGCTCAGGAGATAGAATATTATTGAAAAATTGCGTTTGGAATGCAATCCAGTGGTTCTCGTATTTTTGAAATTCAATAAAAATATTATTACAAGCATTTTATCCAAAAGCACAGTGCAATGAAAATTATCAAATCTAATTATTTTAATCGTTTTTAAATTAATTTAGACTAAATTTGTAAAAAAAAATATTGAAAAACACACGAAATTCTTTAAAAAAAATTGATTACCTTAATCAATTGAAATGCTGACAATCAATAAGACTCCCATTAGAGGAGTGATAAAAATATTTTCAATTATTTTTATAAAACTAACCAAGAATTATTAATTTATAAAATTTTATTACTCAACTTTCAAATTAATACTTTACGGAATTCCCATGGTCGAGGGGGGGGGGTCGAAAGTTGTAACAAAATTAATGGCAGATATAGATATTTTAACATAATTACTCTTTCAGAAATATCTTCTTTAAATCATAATTTCTCTTAAACCTATAATATTTTGAAAACTCGTTACCACCTTAAAACTTAAACGCCTTACCGTATTTGTTCATTCAAGTTGAGCCACTGTTACCAGTAATTAAGTTTGAGAAGAAATTAGTTGAACAATAATATTGTATTGGCATTCAGATTAAGGCTGCAACAATTTTTTACAGTACCCAAATCGGGGGAATCCAGCTTTTCTGTTTTTGTTACAGATACCAGAAAAGTCTCTTACCTTAGAATGTTGTTGTTGTAGTTCATTTACGTCGCACTTGAGCTGCACAATGGGCTATTGGCGACGGTCTGGGAAACATCCCTGAGGATGATCCGAAGACATGCCATCACAATTTTGATCCTCTGCAGAGGGGATGGCACCCCCGCTTCGGTAGCCCGACGACCTGCGCGCGAAGTCGAGCACTTTACGGTAGCACAGTTTAACGAGGACCAATACCGCACACCCTCGGTCCCTACGCAGACTGATCCAAGTGGTCACCCACCCGCACACTGACCGCAGCCAGTGATGCTTGACTTCGGTGATCTGCTGGGAACCGTGTCTTAACGATCAGTCCACTGCGGGACAACCTTAGAATGCAAATCCACTTGATACAGTTGCTGCAAATTCTTTTGTCAAGTTTTATCTTTTTTATACTTTTATGATTTACCATCGTTAAATATTGTAGTGAATAGATTTAATAAGCACAAGACTTTTTTTCTATCTGATTTTTTTTTAAAAAAAACGCAATTCATTTATATCAACGTCCTTTTATAATGCAAATTTTTGTGATTTTCAGCCTTTATCACCAAATTAATGAGAAAAATTTATTTTCTGGTCGAGACCAAGAAAAATTTCGTTAATCACACATATTTGAGTTTCATTGGAAAATTCACCAGGTTTTCCATCAAGTTATAAACACTATTACATCAGACGTTGTTATGGGGTTTTATCTTTTTCGAAAACTTAATCTATAAACTAGATATTAACTGTTAATAAACTTACGATTTGGCTTCGAATAATTTTTTTTTTCTTTTGATAGGGAAAAAAGAAGTGTCATTTGTAATGATAAAATTTAAAAACTTTCTTTGAGACTTTCAAACTAATACTTTTTAACGGGTTTTCAACTCTATAAAAAAAATCACAGATTGTGGAAAAGAAAATAAGGGAGGTATCCATTTTTTAATTTAATTTTAATTTCACAATCAGAAAAATGAGCACGATATTGGCCTCTTGTAGCACATCTTTAAAAGTTGCCGTTTTTGTTCTTGTGGAACCATAGTAAAACAAACGTAACAAGTTTAAAACCGATAAAAGTGCCCCCACAATATATGATACCCGCAACTTTACTGAGTTCGTAAAATATTTGCACTAAAATATAATTCAATGTGCTCAAAAAATTTCATCGCCAAATTAGAAAAATAATATTTCAAATGAAAAATAGTTCAGTCAAAATGTTTGTAACACATTGTAAAGCTATGCATGGAAAATAAATCTAAAAATTTGATTTTTTTTGATTTTTTCTCCGGTCATAGAAACCATATTTTATTTACAGGTCCTATGAAGCAGTAAATACAAATCCAAACTAGTTACAGTCACTGCAGCAGGCACTGAAGAATGGAAATGTAAATTAAAAACTGAAGAATGATTTCATGTAAATTAAAAAAGAAACAACCAATATATTAATATCCTATTTATTTTATAAGGAAAAGTTTTATGGTTTCTTTAGCCTCTGTGCTGTTAGATTTCATTGTTCGATATATCCCTAGTCTCTAGAATAATAAAACCTATAACCATGGTTAATATGTACTATATCAAATTTGTTCAATGCATGCTTAAAGAATGTTTATTCGTTTTGAGTTTTTCACACTTAAAAGTTTGCTTGCTTATATATCTTGAGTGACCTTACCTCTTTAACCTAAATCATGTCTCTGGGGCAAAACAGAGAAATAACCTATTGATTTATGTGCTGAAACATTATTTTTTTTTTTCAAAAACTAGAATTCTAACTATATGCTAACTAGAAAAACACACTAACAAAGACTTACTAGAAGAAGCAAATAGACTATAATAATTTAGTTTTCATAAATTAAAATTTTTTCTTCTGCATTTTATATGTTTGAGTACAATTATTTGTCTTTACCACCCTGTTGGGTTACATGTTTTAATTAGGACACGGCCATGAAAATATTAGTGATTTCTCTTTTAAGTATTATTTGTTTTCTTAAATTTTCGTTGCATTTTATGAATATTACATTAAAATTAGTTTGTAGAAACATTTAATATTTTTAAAACAGATTTTATGCCAGGTATTCCGTTTTGGTATACTAAAGCCTTAACGATAATCAACCATAATTTCTGGTGCATCTTTTTTTTTAAAAAAAAAATAATAATTTAAAACATTAACAAAAATCGCACAATATAAAAATGCTTTGTATTCAATTACTTTTTACAGTTTTAGATGTTTTTAAGATATTTCCCATTTAAAGCGTATCATTAACAACTTACGATATAATATAAAACAAAACAAAAAATTACAAAATTTAAATTACATACAAATTTTTAAATATCAGACTATTTTTCAGAGCGTATTATTTTTTTGCCCATTTACTTTGCAATTTTAAGATTTTATGTCAATGTTTTTTAACTGAATAGTGGTAGACCTCAAAATCTGTTTACCATGCTTTGTTGCATGGTTTATGTAAAATGACCATGTTGATAGGAATTAAACAACATAATTTCAATTATGTCAAATAACTTGTCGTGTTTTAAAATTGCAAAAAATATTGTCGCAACAATATTTTTTAAAAAAATTATTGCTATGCAAATTTACTGAAAAACTTAAAAATAGACAGGTCGGCCATACGCAAGAGGGACACATTTCCTCTGACGATAAATGTTTTCCAGTGTTTCATAAAAAAAATACAGAGACATTTTGATCAGGTAGATGACATATCCCACTTTTTTTTCTCAGAACTAATTTTTCACAACTTATCTTGCTACAGATCATTAATGTAAGCTAATACTTCGGAACAAAAGGACACCCAATTCATATAATCAAGATGCTTGGTATGGCGCCATAATAGGAAGAAAAAAAAAAGAGAATAAGCCAATAAATACTAAGCTTTCAGCAAAAATATGCATTAACAAAGCAATTTGAAGTCATAAATTAAGTATGTCCATGAAAGTCAATTTCCAAGAATCAAAAGCAAATCAATGCTTTTTATTTTTAAAAAATAAAGACTTTATAAATAAAAATTACTCAGAAAAAAACAAATATTACACTTTTTGTATTTTAAGGAATTAGCCTACAATAAATTTCTACCAAAGTTTACTGGCAACCGAAATGTGAGAAGACCAAACACCAGATAGATTGATGCTGTGGAAAAAGATCACATAACCAACAGATGGAAAAACCTAGTGTTTGATAGAGCCAGATGGAAACGACTTGGAAAATGGTTCCGGCCTACACTATGCTGGCACGCTATTTGCTCTAAAAAATTTTATCAAAAACAAGGTTGCCACTCAAATCTGGCTAACTATACTAGTTTTAATTGCTAGAAAAACGTGGAGGAAAAAAGGAACAGCCGAGCATACTTCTGTAATGCTATAGTAAATGAAACAGTTTAGTATAGCTGAAATCCTTAAATAGCTTAGTTTAACCTTAAATATCACACAGCTTTGAGTGGTCACCATTTTTTAAAAGACGAAAATAAGAAATAAAATTCTCTTTTTTTTCTCAGTTTGTAAAGATAAACTCACAATTTCCTGCATTTTCTCTGCTATTTTAAGTGATCATTAAATTCTCTGTATTTTCTAGGTTTTCCCTATAGAGTGGCAAACCCTGAAGAATGATCACTACAAAATATTCACATGTTGACAGAAGATACCAAAAATTTTAGATTTAGATAAGGAAAAATAATAATTAAATGATATTGAAAAATAAAAACTTATTTTGTATTTAAACAAATAAATATCAACATATATTTAATTTTCAAGTATAGCAAATTATTTCCCAGGTTACCCCTTCCCTTGTACTGAGAAGAATTACTTAGTTCAAATTTACAAGCCTGTTTTGTGTCAATCCTTTTTATAATCTACTTTTATAAGTTTTTAAAAACTTTCAGATTTGCTTTCTCCTTTATGTAATAACACAGCATTATTTGACAAATATGATAGTCTTTATTTATGCCTTCCATGATCAAATACATTACACTGACTTAAGAAAATTCATCATCACTAAGAAAAGAAATTTTGGCTGTAGATTTAAAATACTAGTGAAAGAAATGCTTATACAGTAATATACTCAGGCACAACATGAAATATTTACACATGCATTGTAAATAACATCAACTCATTCATTGCTGTAATCTCGAGGAGGAGATCTGGAGCGTGACCTCTGCCTGCTGTGACTTCTGCTTCTTGACCTTTCCTTTTCTCTGGAAGGAGACCTTGATGCAGATCTGTCACGAGACACAGATCGATATTCAGAACGGGACCTGGAGCGAGATCGACTTCCACTTCTGGTGCGACTCCTGCGACTTCGAGAGCGAGAACGTGATCTTGACCGTGAACGAGACCTGGATCTAAAATATTTCAAAATAGATTAAACTGATGTAAATGTAATTCACAACCTAAAATTTTTTCAATGATGTAGTAATAAAAAATAATGAGTTTTTTAGATCAATGTATTCATAACAAGCAATTAAGCTAAAAATGACACTTAGCATTATTAATTTTGACATAATAAGCAAGATTATTATTTTTTTCTTTTTTTGTAAATACCCAGAACAGATTTGCTATATGTACAAATGGAATATATATTGCAAAAAGTATATAGAAACAAGATTTTGTTGACATATGAATGGATATATATAAGATTTTTTTTTTACAAATTCCGGACACTCCGAGGAAATCTCTTTCGTAATATGAACGACTTGACTCTTTGGTTCCGATCTAAAGCACAAAAATATATCACTGAGATTATTAAACGTACCCTGGTAGATATAATGACACCAGACGATCTCATGGACCCTCTTCATATGAATCAAATTTAGATCTTTGCACCTAATTAACATCTCTCGGGGTTGCATAGCGACCACCTGCCCTGCCACAAACAGCTAAATGCTCTTAATGCTTTCTTTTAATTCTACTCATTTCACTTCATTGCTATTTATTTGTTTTTAACTTTGGAACCCTTTTGGTTCAATGATATTTTATATTTTATATTCTGGAAGCCTGTTGGTTCAATTTCTATGTTTTCAATGTTTTATTACGTTTAAATTGCTTTTGCTTGTCTAATTTACCTTTTGATCCAATGTTTTTAATGTTTACAATCTTTCACTTACCTGTTTACCCTCTTGGATCCAATGTTATATACTGTATTCTTTTTCAGATTGTTGTTGTTAGTAATATTCAAAGATACTTAAGAAATCATGTAATGCTATATCAAATTCGTCTCTATTCAAATCTAAGGCATACAAGTCATTGTCAACTAAAATTATAGGATGTCAACTAAAATTTAGGATAAGCATTAAATATTATTATATTTATTTATTATTCATTTATTTTGTTTTATTATTCATGTTTATCATTGTAAATTTTCATCTTCGTTTGTTTTCAAACTGGAAATTGTATTGTATCCTTTTGTTGATCAATAAATTTTCACTCCGGATGCCCCCGCTAGGGGTCGGGACGGGGCTGAGCTTTGAATATATAAGATTTCTATTTTTAAATAAATTTTTAACATTTTCATTTTTTGTTTAAATCGTCATTGAGGATTCGTCATGTCAACTCAGTATTTCTATTATAGCTGCAAACACATGCTACAGTTCACTCTATCTAACTCTCTACAAAAATCTTAATTTCGACCGCACCTACTCCCTCTAAACCTACCTAGAAAAATTCATTCTTAGTCTACACCTGCTTTCACCCTCCTTACCTTCAAGTAGAAAAATGCACACTCCTATGATGAGGAACTGGTCAAACTAGATCAATCAATAATCAGTTTTGTGGGCAGGTGTAGCTTACTTGTATTTGATGTACAGAAGAGATTTTTTCTTTAGTTATTCTTGTATGATAAATTTATTATGTATCTTTAAGGTTTTGAATTAAAGATTTTTTTAAAAAAATGCCAAGTATAAGAGACTTTATTTGGAACAAATTAATTAATTTGGATTTGTTCAATTCAAGAGGGACAGAAAAGCTAACTTATATGTTCAAATATTTTAACAAAAAATAATAATTTGAGTAGTTCTAAAATTTTAGAAAAATAAAAATATCTAGAAACTTCAGGTAGAATCTTTAACTTCGGTGACTGTAAAAAAATTAATTATTGAGAACTTTTATTTTTGTATGCTAATATTTCATTTGATAAAAACTTTGCTAAACTTTAATTTTGAACAAAAATATAGATGAACAAAAGTAAAATTGATTTTTTATTTTCTTTTTTCAAATTTGTATATAATGACTGAAATTATTTTTTCAACAGTAAGGTTAACCTTCTTACTGAAAATATATTTATACAATCCCTGCGTAGAAAGTCTTCCATTTGGATGTTTGCTTTACAGGAGCATCTAGTCAACAGAAAGTAATCAGTAATTTTTTTCTTCAATATCACAACAAGTTTCGTTTTCGTTATGTTAAGCTTAACATAGTGTATAATTTTATTTTCAAATTTTTTTAGGCATAAGGTTACATAATGGCAAAGCAGACGTAAGTTCAATGTAATTTCAATGAAATACTCAGCTGCAGCTTCATATACCTCCAATTTTTTTATTATCAAAAAAAGATTTCAATATTATTTTCTTAAGGTGCTTATATTATTTATAGTCTAGCACAGAAACAAACATAGACAAAAACCCACCTTCTACCGCTATCTTTACAATCTTCAACCAGATGAATTTTTCTTCCACTTAGTTCAGTATCTTGCAACTTGCTATATGCATTCTTCATATCGGAATAAGATGAAAATTCAACAACACTGAAAAGAAAAAAAACATACTTTATTAAAAGATATTACGACAAATTTTATTGCAGAATTACTATCCTAATTATATTTTTTACAAAGTTTTTTTAAAAAATAAGTAATAACATTTGCAAAGAAACAGTTTTGCTAAAATTTTTTAGATCTTAAATTCCCTGACTTTTTTGCATTTTTCAGGAAAGAATCAAAAGTTCTTTACAACATTTTCAATCAGAATTTTTTTTTTCATTTATTTAATATGAGCATAGTTGTTTGGAAGAAAATATGTCAAATATTACATTTTGTGATGATATGACATGATATTTGATCAACATGATTTTGTGATAAAGGTTTAACTTGTAAATAAATAACTGCATATGTAGATAAGTAGACATGTTACAAGATGAAGGTTTACTTGCCATGTAAATTACAAATAAAAGCAATATATTGAATATTAGATTTTATGAGCAAAACCATACAATAAAATGAGAACAGAAACATAGAACAATTTCACTAAAAAGTGAAATTTCATAAAATAATTGCAATAGATGTTAGAACTATTAAACTCTCTCAATAACTGATTACTATTACTGACAATCTTAAAACTGTTTATTTTCCAGGTATAATATAGAAATTTTACAGGTTTTTTGTAAAACATTGTAATTTTTCCTGACTATCCCCTGCCTTTTAGAGTTAAAATAAAATTCCCTGACAATTCCATGTTTTCCCTGACTCATGGGAGTCCTGAAAGTATTTTTTTATAAGTAAATATTCCAAACTTAATAAATTCAAAAAAATTTTAACATTAAAAAAAAAATTTAATGTGAAACAATAATAGGCATTAAACTTGTTTACTTGGAATATCATTGGCCACCTATTATAGCCAATGACTTTTATCTAAAAATTGCCCGATTTCCTGACTTTTTTACTCAATATAACATTTAGTAACAATTTCAGGTTTCACTAGTCCTATTTACCCTAAACTATCTTATAAAATGACCATCAACTAGGCACACACAAAAAAGGTCAGAAAACCCATGAAAAGTTTTTCCATACCATTCACTATGATTTTTTTTAACTGAAGCAAGTTTGTCAGTCAAAACATGCAATACCCTATATCTGACCCCTTCAACTTGTGACCCTGGTTTCAGTTTGGGTTATGACCTGAATTATTTTATGCATAGAGAACTAGTATATGACAGGATAAATACATTAACAGTTCAAGTAAAACACTTTTCGCTTGTTTCAAGTTTTTTTTTTTTCAAAAATGACAAGGCAAGAAGTGATTAAAAATATCCTATCTATTGACACCATACATGCGCTTAGCACTAACTTTTTAAAAAAAGTAAAAAGATTTTAAGAGAAATAATGCATAATATGTGCTAACACTTATATAAATGTTACGTCACTCAACCTACTGAAAAAATGAGTTAGAAAAATTTATATAAGTAAAAAAAAAAATCCCACCCAGTGATAGGTTTCCAAAAGAATTTCAACATTATTCCGAAACATATTTCTGCTTAACATGGCTAGTTATCATTAAAAGACATTGTTATTTTATTCAATTAGTAAACATAATAAACAATTTTAAGCAAAAGATTGTTTGAAAAAATCTGTAAAAACTTTGACACATAGTAATTTTAGTCACATAACAGTTAAATTCTTAAAAGAAAAGATAGTCACAAACATTAAACTTATTTAAAATTAATGTTTCAAAGTCACTTGTCTACTTACAGTTACGACCATTTCTGAGACAGTCTTTTTCAACATGATTTTTCCAGTTTTTGGTTTTAAAAAAAATACTCCAGGCTCTTTCCAATTAAAACTGAGACAAAAAAATGAAACTAATGTTATGAAGTAGGGGGGAAAAACAGGACTCAACTGTCTACCTATTAAGTGTCTACTTATTAATTTATATTTCCTTCCTGGCATTGCAAGAGGTTAAAAGAGTTACCAGCAATATGAAACAAGCATACCCTTCATTTCTTCGTTGTTTATGAGCATCAGCATAGGTAACTTCTCCTGCTTGACGCATGTAATCTTTCAGATCCTGTTCATTGTAGGAATAAAAATCAGTAAAAAAGAAGTACATAAAAACATGTAATATACAAATAGTAAAGTATCTGTATAATGTAGGGAAAATACCAAAACCCTTATAAGTTTATTAAATGCTATTTAATTAGTTTATTAAATACTAATTATTTTTATTCTTTGTTCTTAACAAATGTAAAAAAAAAATTTAATCTAAAACGCCGATACTTTTATAATTAAATACAATATTTAACGATGGTTTAACAAATACTTCAAAATTAAAATATTTATATTTTAATTTAGAGAAATCAAAATATTTGTAGCAAGCAGAATACTAGATACAAATTTATTGTATCTAGCATTTGTATCTAGTAGATTGATTATAAGACACAAATAGAGTATATGAAAGGAATGTAGAATAAAACAAAGAGAATAACTCCACATTTACTAATCATGTTAATAAAAAGCACCCAAGCACCAATTGGAATATGTTATTAGTGCATTTCAGAACAAGATTTCAGGAAATATGATTTGAAATCTAAGCTGTCAATAATGCACTTTTCAAGAACAAAAACAATTATGAATTAAATCAAACAAATGATTATCAAAATACTACGGAAAAGTTTTCAATTCTTAATCTTTAATTTCTTGCATAAAAATAGTAACAATTAGATAAAAACTACCATTATTATGTTTGTGTACTAAAATAAGACAAAGGATAATTGTTAAAAGATAAAGTTATGTGACACTACAAGAACAACATTTTGTCCAATAGAAGCAGCCAATGAAACTAATGTATGCACTCTTGGTACATTTTACACTTGAAAAATTTTAAATATATATACATTAAGAAAATTGATCCTTCCAGTTCAAAGGTTGCATAAAAAAAAGTATCCTTTCACATGTTTGATTTATTCCATTGCCTAGCCGAAAAACATTTTCAATATATGCTTTTAAAATATTATTTCAAAATATGCAACTTTTCAAAATTCAGGAGATGAAATGTGAAAAGAATTTAATACAATTTTACTTTTTTTTAAATTTTTAATCAAATTAAATTAACTTTTAATTCTGTTCAGCAACTTACTTAGAACATAACAGCTTTAGGCAAGTATGACAGAAGAATTTTAAAAAATGATTTTTTATTGTTGATTTCCCCACTGTGCTGTATAAAACCTTGCCAACTCTTTCGTATGCATCAAAACCTCAGAGTTCGTACTTTAAAGAAAAACAACATCTCTTTTACAACATCAGATAATTTTTTGGAAAAGTTGAAAGATTCTGAATTTTAAAAAAAATAGAATCTAAGAACCTGAAAGTTTCTAAGACAAAAAATCCAAAAAAATAAACATTTTTCAAAAGTAAGTCCTCAGAGATGTACCAAGGTGCAAAATTTCCATGAGCTGCTGCCACAGGAGGAAATGATGTTTACATAGCAAACATATTGATTCCTTTAACTATAGATCTGCTTTGTCAAATGTTACCAACTAGAATGAGCCTTGTTGACATAATAATAAATTAATTTACCTTCTCTCTTTTTATAACATCAGTTTGACATCTTAATCATCAGAAAATATGGAACAACCAGACTTCACTACACTTATACATCAAGGGTCTTCAGCCCTGGTGCACAAGAGCATGCGTCTGAGTTCAAATACCATCACATCAGTTTTCATTAGCAACATCATCAACCCGCCTAAAACATCCAGGCATCATTGGCCACAACCAGCGTCAAACATAGGCCCATCAAATGCTCTTGCCCAGGTGCATTTGCCCTTAATGGGTAAATGGGTAAATAATATGTTTAGTCTCTAAGTTTAATTTTTTTGATTTCAAGAGATAGAACAAATTAAAGAGATTAAAATTAAGACGAAATATTTAACATAATGTAGAAATATTTGTCAATAATTTTAAGGATTAAAAAAAATATTATTTAAGAAATAATTTCAATTTTTAGATAGTTGGAGACTTATTAATGAAACAATTTATCAAGCTTAGTTTTAATTTGAAAGAGGATTTAGAGGAGAAAAAAAGAACGCTTAAAAAATTGCAAAATTATAATATGATTGTCCATTGAATAAAAATTACAATCTACCCAAGAATTTTACATTTAGAGAGTTAGGATGAAAATTGTGAAAACTATCATTCCATGAATTATTTTTACCTAGTCCATGGTAACAAAAAGTGTTTTAGGAGCTTGAAATATTCAAATATAATTATGTTTTATTACCAACGAAAATTTTTTAAACTTATTTACATGTAAAAGAAAAAATCATTAATTTATAGCACAAATTCAAACAGTCAATACTACAGAAAAAATTAAAATTTTCAAAATTAAATTTTTAGTTTAAGCATCGCAAATAGATTATCTTAGTGCCAATATTAGGAACTAAAAAGAAGTTTTTGAGCTTCGAATTACATAGCAAATAATTTGTTTTAATACTTGCATACAAGCAAGAAAAATTAACAGTGCACATCATAAATCCTGACTACAAAAAATACTGTTAAAAAAATTTATTAACTAAATTTAATTAAAGTAAGTAGATTACTTATAGAACCAAAAAAAATTTAAAACTGACTGACATAATAATTACAATTTTCGTATTCTTATATACTTTAACACGCAAAAGAGGTTATTAATACTTCACCAATTAATTTTACTTTTAAATCAATTAAGTATTTTCTTTGTTAAAAATTACCTAACACTAGTTTGATTCCATTTGTTGAAAGAAACTCTTTAGCAGAATTTATTTTCCCAAAAAGCAAAGAAATAAGTAAAATAAAGTATTACACTTAGAGTACATGGATTGGGGAAGAGTCAAGACAAAACTGACAAAATCTGTTAAAATATTTCTTAAAAGGTTTAATATTGTGGGACGTGTGCAACATGATGCAAAAACATTTTTTTTTTCAGTTAGAAGCAGAAAAACGTTTAAGCATCTTCCTTAAAATAAAAATAAAATTTATTTTGAATCCTATATAAAAATGTATAGTAATTTTGATAGTTCTAACATTGAATACATAGAAAAGAAAATTGACTTTAGCTACTATTTCCCCCTCAGGAATATCACTTTACACTATTTTTAAAAAAATTTCATCAGGTGGTTAATCCAGAATTTTTAACTTAATACCCATTTTCATGAAAAAATTTTTGCAACATTTTATTTGGTGAAACATTTTAGCATATCAAATTTATCAGCCAGAAAGTATCTTTAAAATAAGAAAAATTATAAAACATTATTTTCAAAGCAACTGCTTTCTTTAATAATACAAACTGCCTATGATACTTAAATTAAAGTCTTTAGGACACTTTTTTAACATGACACTTTACACAATTAATTCAAATTTACATTACTTTACAATACTTATCTGAATTACACATATTTACAATTAAAAATATTAATTATTTAATTGAATCATTTTTCTGCAAAAGGGTTTGCTAAGACAATTTTAGCATAAAATTTGTGTGAAAGTACAGATTTTACTGGGACAATTTTGTGAAGGTATACCGTTTTTGTTGAGTCAACTTTTGGCAAAATACCGATAAACGGTAGTAAATCATCTGCCCACGGACGATATTCATTCTCAAACAACAATATTTATAAAAACAATATTTATTTTCAAAATGTCACTGTTTACTTATAAATTTGTAATATTTTGAAAGAAAAGCATGTTTTTTAAAAAAAAATTTAACATAATAAATTCTTTTTTATTTTAATTAAATTGCTTTTTTAAAAAAAAATTTAGTTCCCCATTATTTAAAACTCCCTGTTATTTTTACATTTCTTCTCTTGCAAAGTTGCAAGGCTCTAAAATATGAAAAGAACTGTTTTATTTTGCAAAAATTATGTTGAAATCAAAAGGTCCTTGATAAAATGGCTATTTTAAAATAATACAAATATTGTGTTCTTTAAGGAGTTTTTATCTCTTATTTTGATCTCTATACATGCATAAATTGGCAACATTTGAAAATCAACTGCAATGTACAAGAAATTTTTTGGCGATCATGTAATTACCAACCCTTTGATAATTAAAGCAAGATTTTAGAATAGATTTATACTAGCAGAATGTAGTGAAATAAGATGTGTAGAGCTGCATTGTTTATTTTAATGTCAAAAATATGGAACTAAAACTGAAAAAAGCATAAATAAAATCCTGCAATTAATTATCAAACACATAAATTTAAAATATATTCACCTGCCAACTAACTCTACTACTTAAATTTTCAACAATCAAGCGATAATCAGTGCGAGTTGGTGGACCATACCTGAAAATATTAATAAAAAATAAATAGAAATAAATTAGGAACATAAAATAAAAAGAGATTTCTAAAAAAAATTAAAATCTGTAAAAATCAAGATTTTAAACAAAAAAAATAAATAAATGTCCATTGTTTTTAATTATTTTTAAAGTCCCACAGTAGACTGATCATAACACATGGCTCCCAGAAAATAAGCGAAGTTAAGCATTACTGGCTGTAGTCAGCATTTGGGTGAGGGATAACTTGTTTAACCTGAAAAGGGATAGGCGGTATGTGGTAACAATCCTCGATAAACCGTTTAACTGCATAGTACTCAACTTATGCCCTGGTAGTCAGGATGTCAAAGCCGGAGAGCCATCTTCTCTTTACTGATGGCAAGTCTTTGAATCTCCCTCAAGGATGTTGCCAATTGTTCATAGTGTAGTTTTAATGTGGCATAAATAAATTACTATTACTTCCTTTTTGCCAATCAAACCTTTTGCCAAAACTTATTTAACAATATTAAAACTAAAATTGTTAATATTTCTGACTAAAATTGTCAACATTATACTGTATTATACAAGATGATTGCTGAATAAATATCATCATTTTAAAACTGTAAGAAATTGTAAAGCTAGGGAACTAATTTGTCATTTAGATATCAAATGAAGAGTGAATTGGTTTAGATCAACAACAAAAAAACATACATTTAAAAAGCAATTTTTTTAAAATTAGTTTTGAATAAATCATAAAACTAATCAAATCAAACAAAAATTTATCAAAACAAAACCAATCAAATCAAAAATTTATCAAAACAAAATTGGTGTAATTAAAATATTTACACTTATACTAAATATTACATAAATAAATCTTTGTCGTATGCAGTGAAAACATTGTCAAAAAGTTTCTACATTTGACAGAGTTATGTTTGAAATGCTTTGTTTAATAACGCTCAGCTACATTTATCCTTTCCATTTTATTAAATAAAATAGTATCTAAAAAATTAATAATTACTATCATTTTTTAACAACTTGGTTGACTTTAGTATAATACAATTAGTTCCTTAGAAACACATAAGAGAAAATAAAACATTTGTCCCTTTCCTGCCTTCTCTGGATCTAAAGGTCTTCCAAGGTCACGGAAGAAATATTTAAGTTTACTCTCAGGGATGAGAGTAGTCAGAAAGTAAAAAAGAGGAAATCCAAGAAAAAAAAAATTATATATAAGCAAAAAATTTGACAAAAAAGGTGCGATTTTTAAACTTGTCAACCATGTGATAATAAATCCCGATATGAGGCTTTTAAATCACGTGAATTTGAAACTCTACATCGAATTTAAAAAATGCGCAAAATACAAATCATGATGCGTATTTTTTAGATCACGATGCATAATTTTTAAATCGCGCGATATTACAACCGCAAAAACGAATCACGACATTGGATTTTAATTTCGCGTAGCTACATAGGGTTTTAAAAGCTCGTAAATACAAATCGCGATATTGGTTTTTTTAATCTCGTAAATAAGAATCGCAATGTACAATATTTAAATAGCCTGAATAAGAATCGCAACGTTAATCGCAACTTTTAAATCAGGTAAATACGAAAATCGATGTTTGATAATAAAATCGCAATTTTAAAAATACATAAATACAAAACACGATATTGGATTTTTAAATCTCGTAAATAAGAATCATAATGTACGATATTTAAATAGCGCAAATAAGAATCGCAATGCGCAACTTTTAAATCAGGTAAATACGAAAATCGATGATTGATATTAAAATCGCGTGAATAAAAATCGAGTTATTTGCAGAGTCTGGACTTGAAATTTCTAAAAGGCTTGTTTGTATTGCTTTTGTTTAGACATAATAAATAAAAATTTGCAAGATTAATTGAATGAGCAAATAAATATTTTCACCGCAAATCCACCTATATATTTTTTTCTATTTTTTTGTTTGTCTTCACGCCAGAATACAAGAAGCAGCGACGTCTGAATTACGAAAATACGAGCTATCCCGCCGACGGATAAAAAATACGGAAAATCTTATTTTCTGTGCGTGAAATCGGAGAAAACAGCTAATATAAGTAAAAATGCGGAAGGGTTAGCAGCTAGGACGTAGTTTGAATTTTCTGTTTATCTTTGAAAATCGTAAATAAATATAATTATTTTACTTCAATGACTGAATTTTAAAAAAAAACGGGATATTTATTTAAAAAAACGAAACTTTTAGAGAATCGGAGTTTTTGATAAAAAGGCTGAAATTCGAGAGACAAAAAAAATCTCATCCCTGTATAAAGGTCAACCAGTTTTATCCCAAGGAAATGATTTTTAGAGAAACTTCAGAGGGAGGAAAAGGGACTTCAACAATTTCCCTCCGCGGAAAATTAAATTCCTCATAAAACATTTTAACTTGGGCAAAAAAAATTTCAGCGGAAATTAGCGGGAAAAATGGAAAAATCTGAAAAAAAGCGGAAATCCGCGAATCCGCGGAAGAATCTCATCCCTGTACTCTGGACAAACTGGGGAGGGAATACCCCCTCCCCCCCCACATTCTCCTTCATTCAACCTCAAGGATGAGTCAAATTTCTGCTTTTTTCCTCAAACGTATTAGTGCAAAATGAAGGGAAAATCGAGCAAAATTTCTTCTGGATACCAGTTAAATGGTTCTGTACCATACTAATTTTAAATTTCAAAAAAAAAAAATTTCATTTCCTCATTAATGCATAATATAATAATTCAGAACAGATGATTTAACTTACTTATCAATCCAGCTACCTCGCCTTCTGAAGCCAAATCTCCCACCAGTTTGCTTTCTAACTGGACCTCGAGCAATCTCCAAGATAACTCTATCAAAATCAAAAAGTATTACTTAAAATTACATTAAAAGTATTACTTCAAAAAGTATCAAAATCAAAAGTAAAATTCACACAAATCTATTAAAAATAAACAAATAATAATCAGTATGAAAGCTGTGATTAAAAGTCATTGATTCTGCATATATCTAAATTAGTTATTTGGTTTCAATAATTAGATAGCAAAGATTATACCAATCAAAATTCAATGTCATGTTCTGCGTATCATGTACAGTAATCTAAAATAGAGGTAACGACAGTTTTAGAAAAAGAGCTGCAGGAAAAAACAACCTTAGAAGAACAGCAATGCAGGATTTAAAAAATAAAAAATCGGTGCTTTAACTACTTAAAACTTGCTCTGTTGCATCGCAACCATTTTTTGATTGCTACGCTATTATTTTTACAGGGCTCAGCACAGGCCATTGTAGAAAAAGTAGTGAAAAAAGTGACTAAATTTTTTTTTAAAGTTATAAATAGTGACTTAATTAAAAACAATGTTAATATTCAGGCAACACCCTAATAACCTTAAAAATATACAAGTTAAAGAAAGAAAATTTGTCTAGAAACATTTATTGCTGTAGAAATCAAATATAACCTTAAATAACATTAAATTTAAAGAAATACTTTTGTTGTGTATTTTTTAAGCTTCTTTTATTACAGTTGAACCTGTTTATCTTGAACCACTTTATCTCCAAAACCTCCATATCCCAAAATTTCTAAAATTCTCCTACATTTACTGTCTAAAATCAATGTATTTTTCTTGTTTATGTCCAATTTTTTTTCAAAACCTCCGTTTCTTGAATTTCCAATAATAGAGCACAAATGTCAAAACTTTATTTATCAGTACAAAGATGAATGCAGACAAAGATGAATTTCGTGAAACCACAGGAAGTAGGGATGAACTGGTTGAGGGCATTTTTTGGAATTACTATCACAATCCCTGCACTTCCTTAACAAGAAAGGAATACAATGTGACCACCAGGGGTTAGCTTTTCAACATAGAAAAGAAAGCTAAGAACAGAAATTCACTTTCACCTCAAAATCCAGAATTTTAAAGTGAACCATAGAAAACCGTTGTTACGCAAACTTGTATATGCCATTGATGAAAAAAGTTATCTTCCAAAAATATAGATGTTAGATGCTATTAGAATTACTGTTTTGCCTGGAAAAATGTGTCTCTAAAAACTATCCAAAATGGTTTTAAAAAGCTGATTTCAAGAAAAGCTGTGAAGGTGATGAACAAGAGGTTGAAGGCATCAATTATAAAGAAGAAACTGTTGTCGCTGAAAATGCGGTGCCAGATCTTTCAGAATGAAATGCAATAAAATCTGGATTTAATGCTGACATTAATTTTGAAGATTTTCACAAGTGGACAACTGCCTGGCAACATGCGGAACATTGACAGATGCGGAAATCATAGATAATGTCAAAGGAATATCAGATGAAGAGGAAGAAGCTGAAGATCATATTGGTGAACCAATAGTGAATGCAAAGGAGGAAGAAAAAGTTGTAGAATTCATATAAACTATACTTGAATCCAAGGAAAATGTTGCTATGAGGGATTTGCGCTCTTTCTAACCATAAAAGAATAATCGAAACAATTAAGGTTATATGCCAAAAATCTCTGAAAAATTATTTTCTGTGTTAAATGTGTGTAAAAAAAATTTCAATAGATATAAGTAGTATAATTAATTTAAAGAAATGCCTATTTTTTCAACAAAAAAAATAATTAAAGCACTTTTAATAGAATTTTTTAATTAAATTTAATTTTTTTTAAAGTACCTGTCTAACTTGAAACCTCTTTACCTCAAATTTTTCGCCTTTCTTGCGAGATTCGAGATAAACAGGTTTGACTGTATTTGTGCAATTTCTGTCTTTTGCACCATTTACGTAGTAAATTTTCTTTTATGTTGAGAATCTGCGTAATTTTCAAAATTACCCGATTATTTTTGGTCCTTTTTCCCGGGACAAACTTGCAGCCCTAGTCATAGTTAAGCAAAATATAAGATGAAAAATTTTCACCCTTTCAACACTAATTATTTTAATATACCCTTATAAATGAATAATTTAATAAATCAAAAAGAAGAAGGAAATTATTCGAGCCTCATCTAATATTTAGTAAGATGGGCTTGCAACTGAATATTTAGTGCATCTTCAACAATAAAATGTAAAAACTTGCTTTTCTAACAAAATTTTCAATGTTTTTTCCCTCAAACTTCTTTATTCACATTTTTATTTTAATATAAAAAAATAAAGTGTGAATTTAAATTTCTGTATTTAACTTTACCAACTGAGAAACAATTCAAATCTTAATTCAGTTTAAATTCAATACTAAAAAACTGCTCACTAATTAGTTTCATAGACACTATAAAATCAGTTTTTTATGTTCTATAATAACATATAAACTAAACTCAATGTTTAGTTCCCAAGAATGCTCGGTACTCATTTTATCGACCCACTGAAGGGATGAAAGGCTGAGTGAACCTTGCACGAGGACAGACAAGGTTAATAGTATATAAATTTTAATAGGTAATAATATATAAATTTAATTTAAATTATATCTTAGAGTTTGCTTATGAAAATTCAATAAATAATTTTATTTCATAAAAACTGAAAATTATTCATAACTGTAGTGAATTGATTTAATAATTTAAATCACAGTAATTACTTTTAAATAAATCTTTGAACTATATTTGTCTTAAACATGATTTAGTGAAAAGAGAATTTTCCCCAAAAAAATCTTTATGAGAAAGATTTAAATACTTTGACATCTTAAATTGAACTTCTCCAAGTAGGAATAATTTTGTATTGCTATTAAATTGTAATACAATTTATTATTGTTTTCACATTTTGCAATGTTACAATTTTAGTTTTATTTTAATTTTGCTGAAATTGAAAAATATTACAAAATTCTTTTATTATGGTTCTAATAATGTAGACTCGTTTCATTCAGTTTTGGTTACAAGATAAAGACCAAACATTGAACTTTCAAGGGTTGTGTTTAGTCCCTAGACTACAAAACCCCCGTGGCAAAATCGCAGCGACATGTAGACATTATTACAGAATGTTACAAATTTCTACAGAAAGATTCTTCTTTTGAAAAGTTAAACATTTTGGTTTTCTTTTCTACAGAAATTTACACATTTTATTTGAACCAAACATATAGATAATCACTTTTTGACACACTTAATTTACACCGATATCATCATAAATCAATATAATGCTTCGATTGTATTTTTGGCAGTTATTGGTATTGATTTTCATGTGGTTTTTAAATATCTCAATATATTTCAAACAATATGGAAAATTCAAATCTAACATTTGAGTATTAAATTAATTTTTAAGGCAATGATTCTATTGAAGTTCTGGTATTGATTTCTCAAAAGTTTTTATATCCGATATTTCTTATACGATATTACAATTATTTATTATGCATTTGAGTAACCCCTATTTGAGGAGTCCAATTCGCATGATTTCGCCACCAATCTTTTTTTTCAACAATGGATTTCATGATTTTTAATTATTTTTTTATTATGATGATTATTTACAAAATGTGAAGGAAATAATTTGACTACCCAAACAACATGCGAGAATATCACCCATAAAATTAGAATAAAAATTATTACATGTTCAATTTAAATTTTTTTTTGTAAATACAGCTCTTATGCTATTTTAAATTATTAACATATATGTTTATTACTATTAAAAGTATCTTTCAGAAAAATATTAGTGCTAGACAGTTGTCTCAGAAAACCCGAAAAAATTCTGCCGCAAGGGTGCAAACCTTGTCTAAGGTGAAACAAATCAATATGAAATATCTTATAACAATTATATTTACAGGAATGTCACCTACTTCCAGAATTTTCTTCTTTCTTAAATTTATAAAATTGCAAACAGTTATAAGTTCTGAATTTCTTTCAAATTTCTTGTGTTCAGCTTTAAAAATTGGGGGTTTAAAAAAGTTATAGACATCAAAATGCCAATTTTGTTAATAGCAACTTATTTTCTAAAAATATTTTGTTGACAAAAACTAAACAATATATGTGCAGTTTATTACTATTTGCAAATACTATTTAACTAAAAGTTTATAAGTTTTGATATCACTAATACTAATACATATAACACAATAAAGACAAAAATGAATAAAAGAGACTGTGAATGAAAAAAAGAGATTAACGAAGAAAATTAAAAAAATAATTATGCTATATTAATACAATATTAGAAAGTAATCTTTTTGCGGATATAATCGTGTGAGCTCATGAAAAAATTATATCTTTTCCTTATTTTCTTTTCCTGCTTTTCAATTTCTGATAATTTCTTAAAATTTTTGAATATCTTTTAAAAATATTTTAATCGTTAATGATTTTTCTTCTTCTCTTTAAAAAATTTATATATTTTTTTCCATGTCTTTATATTCTTAACCTATCAATATCTATCTATCTATATATATATATAGATGGATGACAAGCAAGTAACCGGTAACCATACACTACATGCACAAAAATTGCATACATTTTCCTCAAGTAAAAAAAATCTGCAAGAATTACCTTTCACCAAGTAAGGTTTTTCCGTTTAACTCATAAACAGCATCATCAGCATCTCTACCATCTTCAAATTCCTATGAAGTAATAATTACATTGATAAAAATAATTATAAAATATTTATTTAATAAGATATATTCTATAATATTCGTGTATATTTGATAAAGTGTTATGAACTAAAAACATCAAAATTAATTAATTAACCTATGTGTTAAAAAAGTAACTATAATTATCAAACTTTCATAACCATTATGATTTACACATTCAATAATAATTTCTAATCCTGCAGTTGAATATGTAGTTATATGTAGCTGATTAATAATACCTAGAATTTTTTGACACATAAATAACAAGATAGTGAAGTATATCAAAATAATTTGCATTTTTTAATAGTCTTTATTAGAAAGTAAATATTGACTTACTAGAAATTTTTTAGTAGTTTTTATTAATAGACAAAATAGTAACTTCTCGTAATGTTATCTGTTGCTGACAAGAAAGTAAAATATAAAAATGCTTTAATAATGTTTTATCAGAGCTCATTCTAGGCAGGGTAAACAGGGCGCAGCACCCTGCTGCCCTTTTAGCCAAAAGAATCCACCTTGTTGCCCCTCCCTGAAGTAAATCAGTGCTCTGATATAATAGACTTCATAACCTTTTCGCCCTTTCTTTCCTCAACCCTTCTTTGTTTTTTCTCCAAACTCTACTAGGGATATCTTAAACTTTTGTTACTTTCAACTCTTTTTATTTAGTTTGTCATTGCTGTCAATACATAGGAATACATTTATATGGGAAAGGAAAAATAGCTATCACACCTCTTGTTGCACTTGTCATTGAAAGTTTGTAGTAACTTCCACTACCATTAAATCATAATTATTAATCATTTTAATTATTAAATCATAACTACAGAAACTTAAAAACAAACATTTATTTTGTTAATATATGCATGCATTTTAAATAAATTACTAAGCTACTAAATAAATTACTACCCATTAACTCAATATATATGTTAATTTATTAATAAAAATTAGTAACTAATATGATTGCTTTGCTACTTTTAGTAAAGTAAAGAAAAAAAATTCTTTTACTAATTGACAATGTTTTTTAATAGAACGTGTAAAGCCCATAGAAAGAAATTATTGCCTTTTTAGAATAATAATGCAGTTTTTTCTGCCTAGAATGAGCTCTGGTTTTATTAAAAAAGAAATTTAAAAAAGAAAAGAAATTTTACATACGAAGTAAAACCTGTAAAATTCTAAACTTAAAAAATGCTGCTACTCAATATTTCACTAGTTTTTAAAAAGATTTTTAAAGATATTAAAATAAACATGTTAAAAAATTTTAGGGAACCAGTTGCTATTTAGGTCAAAATATGTTTAGAAAATACAGAGCACATAACAGTTATCTAATTTACTAACTTTGGTGTACTATATAAAATAATTTTAGTTAAACTAAGTTATATTTTTTATTTATTAGTTTGAAATTTAAGCCTCTGCATACCATTGCTCCTATAATTTCATGGATGCTAAAGTATCCAGTTATTAATTATATTGGATTTCTTTTCACTCAATTAAATGCATTTTCCTTTTCATTAAAGATTTTAACTTTCATTATAGAATAATTTAAAAATCTCCTTGAGAAATGCAAAGAAAAAATAATTTCAAAAATATCAAATGCTTTACTAAAACCTGTATAAGCAACAGAATTTGTTTATTTTATCTACTTGAAACACTGTAATTATTATTTATTAAACTTAAAAATATAACTTTTATTTGTCCTGTAAATTAAGAGATTATATAAAATAGCAAATGAATTATATAAAAATTATAGATTTTATAATACATCAACTTACAACAAATCCAAATCCATTTTTCAGTAAAATCTCTCTTATTCTTCCATATCCTTTGAAAAATTTCTCCAAATCTCTTTCAGTACAGTCATAACTCAATCTTCCAACATATACTCTGGTGCTCATCGTGTATACTTCAGCTTAACCTAGAATTATATAAACAGTTTAATATAGATAAAGCAAAATATTTAAAAATTTTGATAAAAAAATTGTTACATAATACTCTTACACATAAAATTTTAACAAATTATAGGCATAATTTATAACATAACTTCATATAATGAAATTTAAAACATTACAACTTACATAAATAATTAAGTGCATAAATAGAAGTAGTTTAATGATTAATTATAAACCAATTTCAACAAACTTATAAGTCGACCTAATGAGAAAAAAAAACTAATTCAAAACATTAAAATTTGATTTGTAATCTGATATTTTAATAAGCATTAAGAAAACATTTGAATAATCAAATTTAAACAACTGCATCGTCTCACTAAAAGATCCTTAAGAAATAAATTTTTAACTGAAATGTATAAAATATTATAGAATTATCCTAAGATGCTTTAAAAATTTTCAGAATGCTTATTAAGATTATTTATAAAACTAGTATAGTTTTTTAGGAGCTTTGAAATCTAATAACACTAAATTATTTGTTTAACTGACTACCTGTAACTTTTCATAGAAGACAAAATGAAAGAAAATTATACAAATTTGAAAGCTCGTGGAAAAAAATTATAATTAGAGATTGTGATATAAAGAAAAAAAACTTATAAAGTTGAAGAGTTACAGTACTAGTAAATTGCATTGTGTGAAAACCATACATTATTTAAAATTCTGTAGTTAAAAAATAAAAATATATTATGTACCAACTTTTATTCATAAATTAAAAGAATTTATATAGAATTTTGCACACACTAGCCCAACCATGTAAAAAAATCCATGAGAAAAGACTGAAGTTTTTCCATTTTGACATCGGCTTGCATCAATGAAAATTCTTGTTGTACAATAAATAAATTACCAGTTTCCTTGCTTTGGAGACAGCCATGAACTCCATACTTCAAGTTAGCAGCAATAGTTTTTTTTTTTTTTTTCAGTATTTTCAGGGTATCTGCTACATTTTAGATTTTCAAATTCATGACTTTTCATGACTTTCCATGACTATTTCCAAGAGTTTTTCATGACTTAACAAAGTTACTATTTTCTCGGACAAAAATGCAACAATAAATTAAAAAAAGCATCATAATAACATTAATTGAAATTATAGGTATAACCAAAACTGCTATACTCTGCATCTTCATATTTAGATTTTAAATTTAAAAAACAGAGTAAAGAAAGAGTTGAAACAATAAAATAGCTGAAAAAAATACAAAAGCAAATAATTTTATTTTTCTGTAGAATAATATTCTAAAGAAACTTTTCTTGCTCATCTGAAAGTAAAGAAATACTCCCGATTTTTCTGTTCTCATTTCGGAATAAAAAAAATTCGCCAATGACTGGTTTGCTTCAACTACAATTTTAAATTAATAAAGTTTTTAAAAAAATAAATAATAAAAATTCTTCAATCACAGAAGAGTTTAAAAGATATCCCTCTAGAAATGATGTTTTTTTTTTTTCTCATTTTCTGAAAGAACACCATATAATTTTTAAAGAACATGATAAAATAACTTTATATTCTAATAAAATATGCCTGAGTGGTGATTTTGTTAGGAATTCAGATATTTGGAACAGGATGAAATTAGATTAATTGGAGCAAGAAAAAGAAAAAAAAATTTGGAGCAGCAAAACAAAATTTGAAGCATATTTAATAAAAAAAATTAAAACAAGAATTTAATAACAAGAGTTTTTTGTTCATTAATAACAAATCTTATTTTTTACAATTTTTTGAAGGTCCTTGCATAAACAAATTAAGTTTCTTTTTGGTATCTTCCAATACTGTTAAATATTCTATCCTCGACTTAGCCTCAGATAAGAGGAATAGAATTATTAGGACATAGAATTTTTTTTTTTGCAGAAGAAGATAAGGATGTCTTCGCATTTGTGGTATCTGGTGCAACATCTATTAAATTTGAATTTTGCCAAATTTCTGCATTTTCTACCTACAAAGATTTTAAGTACTTTCCTGTCAAACTAAGAAAAGCAGAACACTTTAAAAACGCCCTAACAATGTTTAAACTAGAGACACCAATTTCATCATACAGCAAGTGAATCAATGGTGTCTCAGTTTGGAAAAGACCTAAAAATTTATAATATAGCCGAAATATTTTTTAAAAATGAGCTTTTGGCAAAAGCAATTTAAATAAATTCAATATTGAGTGGCTCATACTATTTTTTAAATTAATAATTACTTTATTTAATTCTGTAAAAGGTAATTTAAAACTCTAATTAATTTAACTATCATTTAATGTTATTGAGTATATTTTTCTTAAAATTTAAATAAATGTTATTTGTTATAGTATATTCAACTAAACATTAACAAGATTAATATTCATCATACCGAATTTATAAAAATATGTAAAAAATTAAGCAAACATTAATAAATTTATATTACAAATGTAAATTAGTGAATGGCCCCTAAATTTTTTAAATTAAAATTGGTTACCTAGTACAGTATTTCATTAATGAAATGATTAAAAATAAATAAATAATTTTTAAATGCAAATACAATGAGTATTGAAGGTAAAAAAAATTTTGTCAGAAGTAAATTATTATAATGTCCCTACACTCATAATATTTAACAAATCTGTGATAATTAAAACTTTTTAGATCAATTGTTTTAAATCAAATCATTAAGAGATGAATTAAAGTATTTTTGAATGACAAATCTGAAGAACATAAGATTTTTTTGCTGCTTTAAAATTTCTGAAAGCCCCTCTCTTCATACTCATTTAAAATCTTTTCTCTAAATATTATTAAGTTTTTTCCTGAAACAAAATAAGAGCACTGAAAATTTTGAAAGTAATAACACAATAATAAAATGCAATAAGAAAAAATAAAAATATTAGTAAAAAAAAAGTAATAAAGTAAAATAAATGTTCAAAAACAATATGCAATTAGTGGATGGTCCCTCAGATAAAATTTACGTTTGTGAAACTCAATTAATTCTCATCTTTATTAAATTAAATGAATAAAAGGGAGATGGAAATTTTGAGGTTATGAAGCTTTGTGATTCTTGACTGCTCTGAGGATCAACATGAAAATATGTACTTAGTGAAGGGTCCCCAAGTTAATTCCAAGATCATGGGTACTATTCTATAAATAGAATAGGGCAAGAAGGCTATTAGCTTGCCATTGACGAAGACTATAGCACTTCAATAACGAAGAAATTAACAAGAGAAATAAAATTTTCTTTTGCTATTAAAATTTGGAATGTTTAGTTGGTCCCCGAAAATTCGAGGGAAGTTTTGGTTCCATTTCAGAGAGTGGAAAATAAACCTGAAATTGAAAATGAATGAGAATGATCTTGCAAAATGAAGCAGAGTTGCACATGAGAGTGCAAGAATCCTTCCCACTGAATCCAGAGCAACCCCCACATCGCAGTAGCTTGGTTGCCGCAAAATTGTGACTTGGCCATACCCAGGAGAAAATATCCCTTTTGGCGCAGATCGGCGCAATTTAAGCCTACTACTTCAATTTGGAGCATGTAGGCGCAGGTTTTCACAATTGGCACGGATCGGCGCGATTGGAACAGAACTTGCAACACTGGGAGACCTAAATCCATGACTTTCCATGATTTTTTCAAAAAAATAGCAAAAATCATGACATTTCATGACAAATTTTGCTCAATACTGAAATTCACGACTTTCCATGATTTTTCATGACTTTCCAGGTGCGCGGATACCCTGTATTTTGCATGCCATTATATAGTTGTCACCATAACTTGGCCACCATATCAGTGTTGATACTGATATAGATATCTATCCAAACAGGATTAGGTGTTTGGCGTCTTAAACTGTTTTTTGTCAGTAAAAATTGAAACAAAAAAAGCTTTTTCCTCATTATATGATACAACGAGCAGTCAATTTTTTTTCATGATTTTCTTTACATGTAACTTATAAATTTGTATTATGATGGACCCCTGAAATGGTAAATGGGTGTTTCATGGTAAAGAGTGGAGAAAAAAAATTAACAAAGTTCACTTCTATTGTTTTGAAAGGCTTAGTGTTAATATTTGCGTTATGAAAACAAACACATGATTTTCTTAGCTGTTTTATGTGGACGTTAAATTTACATCTATAATTAATGTTTTAGGTATTTTTTTGTTAAACATAAAATGTTTTAATGTGTCTCGGTTGTTTTGCAAATGAAATGTTTGTGATAAGCATAACAAAAATCTATTACTTTGTGGCGCAACTACCACTACAAATATTAAATACCAAATCACTAGTAAATAAGACATGTTAACTTGAATCCATCTTGGGGTACCTTTTGATAGACGAAGGTTGATGTAGTCAATAATTAAATCCCTTCAATTTTCTAGCACCGACCTTGGCGTTACAAAATCAAATAAGAAGGGCTCAACTATTAATATTATTGCAAACTATTAACACAAATTATAAATCTCATCTTCTAGTTTCTCACATATTGTCTTAAATTCATTAAAATGCTACTAATCAACACGATCTTCCTTTAAATTCAACCGAAGCAAATTTTAGCAAAAGAGGGAAAAATAGAAAGCTCTTCAACAAGAAAACGAACAATAAAGCGTATGGGTAATTTCAACTTATATATAAAAGTAAATATATCAGTTTTCATACAAAATCGTTCATACAATAATTCTACCGACAACTAAAAACATGTCTAATTAACATTTTATAACATACATAATTATCTACTATTAAAACAAACATAACAAATTTCAATGAAAGCAGCTAAAAAGCAATAAGCACATTATCACTAATGGTAATTGTAATATTTAAAAATGCAATTTACCAATTAACTGAATATCAAACTGTCAAAATTATAAATAAAACAAACTTTCAATCATTAATTAAAATAACTTTTAATTAATCAAGAATTATAGTAAACATGTATAAACACCTACCTATCATACAAACAACCGCATTAGAGCAAGTGAAGTTGAGTTGAAAACAGCAGAAGTGAGCTTGCGCATTGCGTAACTAGCAAACTCGAGATTATAAAACTCAATTTTTTTTGTTTTTTTCAACATATTTTGTAATTTCACTCATAATTTCGATTTAAAAATAATGAATAAATTATCTTTTATGCATAAAACTAAATTTTATTGACAAATTCTGTCTATTTATTTTATTTGATAAGTCTGATATCGAGAGTATATTGGATATGGCGAATATTTGCCCCCTGCGACATGAAAATAAAGTCATGAGAAACGATTTACCAAAGAAATGTGAATGGAAAGAGAATGACTCCTGCAATCGCCATTTTGCTACTCCCAAATCTCAAGACAAATTTATTGATGGAATATTCTTCTTGCATATTTTTGTTAAATATAAGGTAAGATAATGGAGATAGTCTGAAATTGCATAAACAAAGTTTGTTTTGGTTTAAATCTTCTCTTTACTTGACTGATTCGTCTGCTCTGTAGGTTTCGAAATATTAATAGGCCTAAAACTATTTCGCATGCAAAAGAATCGATTTTATCGCTCTGTTTTCTCAAACAATGTATGTTTATAAAAAATAATCACTTTGAACTCTAAAATTTAAGTATAATAAGTCTTCTGACAGATTCATATTTAATTTTATGCTTATGTATTTTGCATAGTTTATCGAAAGTAAATATTAGAGATTTGTAAACATTGTAGCTACAAGTGATAATAAACAATTTATTTAAGAATGAATTTTATCTTGTGCAGTTCGACCTAAAATATAAAATATTTGTTAAACCCTCAAACCCAATGATTACAAAATGTCATTAGCTATAAATATTAAATGGATTATTATAAGAATGCGGCGATTGAATTTGGTGACATTCACAGAGAAACTACTATAATTCTAAATTTAGATACACATCAAATAATTTTGAACTTATTCTTTACAGTTGAATTCGTTACAATAAAAGAAAAAATTATATTAGTTACATATTACGATTTTTTTATTAACGTTTATTTTAAGTTATTTATCTAAACTTCTTGGGTTTTTAAAATAAAAAATTAAATATGTATGTTCATATTTAAAAGGAAAGCAAATAATAGTTTTATGATAATTAAAATTAAAGTAGGCAATTTTTTTTTAATTGACTGGTGATATTAATTATTTAAAACAGGAGCTCATATTGAAGTGAGACTAACAGAATATGTGTCCTAAACTATTATGTAAATGCTGCTTGACAATTTTAGGAAACTAACTAGGCAGATAAATCCGTAATAATTTATCATTTCAAAGATATTTATAGTTAGTACATATTTTCTGTATGCTGTAATATGTTAATGTGTTTAAATTAAGGATAGTATCAGTATCTATGCCAAGATTTGTAACTTGCAGGGGGAGATTTCCGTATCGCGATCTGTGGCAGAATAATCACCAAGTCTTTGAAACTTCCGGGCAGTGGCCAATGAGAAACTTAAAAAAACATCACAGAAAGGGACCAACGCTACAGGTATAACTCATAGCCACCCCCGGCAAACATCTACATGTTTTTTTTTTTTAAATTTGCAAGTTTAAAATCTATTTGGCATCTTGGCGATTGTAGTTGGCTGGACAGATCACGATACGGAAATATCCCCGCTTTGATTAACTTTTATAATTAGTTTCAATTCTTTTGTCCCAAACTCCTTTTGGTAAAATTTGTTTAAAAATCACTGATTTTTTTTTAAATTCATTTTAATAGAACTCTATCTTGATTTATAGTATAGGCATAAGTTAGGTAAAAAACTGAAAATAGAAATCGAAAAATATGTTCAAAGACACTTTTTAAATAATTAGAAGAAAGAATGTTATTAATGTTTTGTAAAAATATTGAACGATTTTTAAATCATGTAAATATGAATATAGACATTTAATTTAAAAACTGTGTCAACTCAAATCTCAATGTTTCATTTTATTTTAAAATCATTATAAAAGAGTGTGTGTTTTCATTACAGAAAAAAAATGGAAGAGAATTTCTCACCCTTTCTCAAAAACAGGGGGAGATTTCTAAAAATTAAAAAAACACAAATAGACTTGAAAAAAAATATTTCTTTAATTATAATTTCATTTTTAGCATCTTTGAATAGCTTTTTTAAAATATTGAATATTTTTGCTGCATCATCATGTGGAAAATGTTCCATATCTACTTTTTCATCAGCTATTCACATTAGGTTGCTCAAATGCTTATCAGTCAATCTGTTACGAAATTTTGTCCTAAATCGGTTTTGGGTGCTAAATGACCTTGCAACAGATGCTGACTTATCCTCTACATCTGCCAGCTTAGGCTTTTCAATTATTTCTGTTATAGAATAGAGAAGTTCGTTGGAAGTTATTTCGATGTTCATACTTCATGCTATGTCTTCCAGCATAGCATAGTTTTCACAGCCTTTAATTTTTACAAATTGCTGTAAATTGTCGATGAGAGAGTTTGGTAATTCATTAAGAGCTGAAAAATAAAAATAGTGCTGACTTTAAATAACTTATAATAAAGGACTCATTTTTTTTTCTCAACTGATTTTTTATTTAGCTGAAAAATATCCGTATTTGTTTCGTTTTGATTGTTTCTACCGACATTTGTTTAATTTTCATTTGTCCGTTATGGAGTAGAAGATGTTTCCTTAACAAGGTATTTGTCCATCTTACATTCATGCACAAAAAATGTTAGCGTCTTACATGAATAAACTTTACCGACAGTAAACACGTGGTTGCAGAGAAATGTGTTCTGAAAGGGGTTCTCTGGTTAGGGGTGGATGGTGTTCTGCTGTTTGCACCTGTTCTGAACAATGCTGGTAAATAGGGAAGCTAGATAACAAGGACCAATGTTGAAAATGATGAAAGATCAAGGAAGAAAAGTGAAACGGATTTTATTTAAAATGGTGAAAGACGAAATTTTTTCCAAAATTCGCGAGATTCGTCATTTTGAAATTGATTGATAGAGTGCGCTTACTTCTCGCGTTAATCATTTTTTAATGTGAGAAAAGAAGAAAATATGCTAGATTCTCGTGCTGTAGTGAAAATACTGTAATATAATGTTTAAGTTAATAATTGCTATATGTAAGAGACATATGAAGTTATGATTGGTTAATTTTTTAATAATATGTTAAAGAAATATAATATGACTCTCGATATTTGGTTTTAAAAGCAGGGGAATATGAATTTCCTTGTTTAATTTATAACTGTGTGAATACAAATCTCAATGTTTGATTTTAAAATTGCATGATTATGAATCTCTCTTCTTTCGCTAATCTATCCACTACCTCAGTACCTGGGATATTCATTTGTGGTAGGATCCATTGGAGGGGAATTGGAGAGAGTCCTTAGTTAGTGTAGAATAGAAATACTGGTTTTGTCTCTCGCAGAAGACCAGCCACTTAGATGTTCGATAAAATCCATAATTTAAAAAAATCACTTTCGTAGGACAAGATTAAGCCCTACATTAATTGCAGTTGACTGACTACTAAAGACAGAATCAAGGTTGCATTGCTTAAGTGTAGTCTCAAGGAAAGGGGTTATAATGTAAATATCGCTGTTCCTGCAATCTTCTGTACTATTACTGTCACTATAGACTCACTCACAATCTTTAGTAATAAAATTCAATGATTCCTCATTTTTAAGCTGGTTAACATCTGAAACTATACATGAGCCAATCTAGTCTAAGATGTTCATCATGGTAGGTTTGCTTGTTTGCAGAGAAATTCAAATCAAAGTGGAAGAAAACTCTTGAGTCCCCCCAAAGAATCAATACAAGATTTCAAAGAGTTTAATTATGTCAATAAATTGCCTGAAATATAGTAAGTTATGTAAGGCCAATTTGACTTGTGATCTTTATCATGATGATAAAAATTTGTGTAAAGTATTACCAAGTTTATTACTAAATTTCAATGGTAATGAACCTCTGACTTTTTAGGTATGGCTAGTAGGGCTGAAACAGAGGCCTCCATAAATAATGATCATGGCTTACTTGCAAAACCATTGCATCTTCAAAGATTAGAAAATGCTGTTCGGTTGGAACCCTTTCTAGATTACATTCAAAATGTCTTCAGTGAGTCTGCTAGGTAATTATAGTTTCGAACTACTTATAGTAATTGTTAATATTCATCACTTATTTTGCATTGTTGTATGTATATATATTTAAATCTTTTAGTAGTGATGCTGACAATGCGGATGACTTTAGTCGCTCTGATTTTGAGTTGGATGAAGACATTTTTAAGGAGAAGTTTAATTATAGACAGGGTAAATTTTGACTTTATCATTATTTTGTTGATGTCTAGTTAGAAAACTTTAGTTCTTTTTTAGATAGAAATTGAAGAATCTACTATAATCGTAAATTTATCTTCACTGTGATTTTATAAATAAATTTTCAGATTTTGTTTGCTTTTTTTTTCATGTATGTCATTCAGTGTTTAATTTTCAATAAATTTGATTGTGTACCGCATTAATGTATTAAACATTCTTGCTGAATTTATCATTGTCCTCATATCTTTGATTTTTCTTAAGAATTTTTTTTTTTTTCCTGATCTTTAGCTTTTTATTCTTGATTTTTGTGTGTCTATAGAACATCCTATTTTCTACAAATAGCTTAAACTTAGGACATGGTTTAGACCAATAACCTTACCCGCAGGATTCATTATTTCAAACTCTTTGACAATTCAGCCATTTTACAAAAAAAGAACTCAATTGTGTATTTATTCTATGTTGATAAATTCAAGGGTCGTACCCAGTTGGGCAAAATAACAAAAATGTAACAACTAGACAGTAGCAAAATTTCCTATTTCCTAGGCTTATTTATTATTTTCAGCATATTCAGTCACAAATTGTAAAAGGAGGAGTTTTTGGTTTCACGTTTATTAATTCAGCTAAATATAAAAATTATTAATTTTTGAGAAAATGGCCACTGTTAAAAATGCAATAACAGTAGCAAAATTTCCAATTTCATAGGCTTATTCATTATTTTCAACATATTCAGTCACAATTCCTTGAGTGGAGATTTTAATTTCACAATTATTGATTCAGCTAAATATAAAAATTATCGATTTCAACCAACAATATTGTAATCTTATAGAATTTTTAAATGTTGATTTGAGGGTTCATTCACTTATGTTCAAAATGACTTATGTACAAAAAAAAAATTAAGCATTATATTTGCTGTTTTTGTTTCAAGATAATTGAAACCCTTCTTTAAAATTGTTTGACTCGTTTTTAAACTTGATGGAAACTCAACAAATTTTAGTTAAATATTAGTCTGAGAGAATGTTAACTATTTGATGCTGGTTATTTTCTTTAATACAACAGTACTATGAATATTTTCTACTGTTCAATTTCATGAAGTGATCAATCTATCAAAATAGAGATCTGACTATTCCATCAACTTCCAAGAGTTAAGATTTTAAGGGAGACAAATCCGATCAAACTGTTGCCTCACGACTCATTAGCGGACATTTGAAGTGTTTGACCTTTGGGTCTGGTAGTAGGGTCTTCCCAACCAAGTGCATGATCAATCCTCCTTCTCCCAATTTTTTTTTAAAAAATACCCATATTATGACATAAGTTTGAATCTCTTGTACATTCGATATGGTGTTTTAATCGTTAATTCGACAGTTATTGAAATGAATTTTCTCATCTTATCAACAACAAAAAAAATATTTTTCAATTTAAAAAAAAAAAAAAAAAAACAATTTTAATTCTATGCAAAAGTCAAATCACTTATTTGATTATTTATTTTTAATGTGACGATTTCATTCTTTTTTCTGCGTCAATTTTTCAACTTTTTATTGCTAGTGCTACCAATTTCCAAGTGATTTTAATTCTGGTAATTTCTCAGTTGTTATTATTTCTACACGTAAAATTTGAGTCACGCATTTAAATAATCTCTTATTGACAAGCTTCATTTTTGCCGGTAGTATTGTAATTTCGTGTGTTGTTTCAATCGTATTTTTGGCAATTGTTGATGAGTTGCACATACTTTTTTAATATCCCGAAATATTTCTGACAATATGGTAAATTCAATATCCCGACATATTTCTGACAATTTGGTAAATTCAAATTGCGCATTTGAATATTTAATTTTTAATGCAATGATCCTATCAATTTTTTTTTGTCAATTTTTGCTATTAATTTTCTTGTAAATATATAGTCCAATATTTTTAATACAATATTAATTATTGCAACAATGGAATTTAGAAAGGAAATATGTATTTAGTACCTCCTTTTTGAAAACCCTGATTCATATGATTTAGCCCTCAGTTTTTTCCTCCCAGTTGTTACTACTACGAATTTCACGATTTTTAATTAATTTTTTTTAACGTTATGATGACTTTAAAAGTGCAAAAAAAGAAATAATTTGGTGTGTTTTCCTCCTACAAAATACAAGCATATTGCCCATAGTATTATAATAAAAAATATTATATAATCGATTTAAAAAGTTATAAAGGATTTTATTTTATCTGAATAAATTTTTTTAAACCCTGCACTACTCTTACTTTAAATTGGTAAATTCCCTATTTGTTACTATGAAATTATCTTGCAGAAAGATATGTGTGCTAGAGAGTTTAGTCGCAGAAAACCCAAAAAATGTATGCCCCTGCATTCGTTTGAAAAGTTATATGAAATTAGTCTTATTGTAGCTGATATAATTATTATAGTGTAATTTTAATCTGTGTTATCTTTTTTTCTTTTGTTCCTCTGTTTGTCAGGTTTTTTTTTTTTTTTTTTTTTTTTACCAATCTCTCTGTTTGGATAAAACTTCAAATATTTTTATTATGAAAGATTCACATCTATAATAAAATATCTGTTTGTGGACATTTACATGTTGAAATACTCTTTAATATTATGTATATTTTCTTTTTGTTTTTCTTAGAGAGGAGATGTGATAGACTCAGATTGTATAATTTCAGCAAAGTTAAGAAAAATAGAATGTGGCTAAAGGTTTGTAGTATTAACATATATGCATGGTAATATTTTAATAATTGCTATTTCTTAATAATATTTTTTCTTTATTAGGACATTTTGCTTAGTGATTCATCTGATAGTGATGACAGTAGTGGCTCAATCACTGAAGAAGATCTTAGGGATATGTTGAAACTTCATAAGCTTCAAAAATCAGCTCAAGATACGTTTCACAAAAATACAGATGTAAGTTTCATTGGTGGAAATGTGATCAAACCTTCAGCTCATCATAATGCACATTAGTTTTAAAACTAAGTTTTAAATTATTGCAATATTTCCGTTTGTTTAGAAATAGTATATGTTTAGAAACATAGTTTGGTGTTTGAATTATTGACAAAAATGTAACAAGTTTAATAAAATCCGGACAAATTTTACTGCACTTACCACAGATCCAGGATTGTCAACTACAAAACTTTTTTCAAAATATTTTATAGAGGGGTAATCAATAATTACTGAAGTTTTCAGAATTTATGGTAATTTGATTGCAGTATGCCATTTTATAGTTACTAAATTAAGAAATTAAAAGAAATATAATAATGGGTAGTTTGAAAAGTAAAAAATTTTCTGTGTGTCATTATTTTAGATCAAATGACTAAAACCAGATTGCTATTAAAAAGATGCCTTTCTCATGGCTCTAAAGGGAAAGAAATACTTGTAATTTTTCTATTCTCATTTGAAAATAATGAAAAATAAAGAATATTGAAGTAAGAAATGTTGGGTTTTTTTTCTGCAGAAATAATTTTTTTTCCTGCAGAATTAGTTTCAAAAGATGCCTTTCTCACACATTAAAAGTTCGGGAAATGCTCATGACTTTTCTATTCTTATTTGAATATTTACTTTCTTTGCAGTATGCTATTTTGTAGTTACTAAATTAAGAAATTAAAAGAAATATAATGGGTAGTTTGATAAGTAAAATTCTTTTGTGTGTCATTATTTTAATCAATGACTTGCTATTAAATTCATTTTAAAAAATATAGAAAATTTGTCTTACTTTTTAATACATTTGGCGTAGTGAAAGCAAAAAATATAGCCTTTCGAAAGTAAATAATTCAAAGTTTTTCGAAACAGTCTCATTTTTTAAACATATTTAGAGGTACTGATGATAAAACTAAAAGTGCACATTTTTCTTTAAATCAATTAAAAGATAAGTGGTAAAAATTTGCTAATAAAAAGTCTTAGATGCGTTTCATACATTGTACAGTATATTATTCAAAATTCATAATCTGACAATATTCTGGATTTAAGGCATAAACTTAAAATAGCAAAAATATAATGTGCAATGAAAGAATTTTGATTAAACAATAGTATAGAATAAGTGTAAAATTTATTTCTAAATTACTATTTTTCCTTTATTGCAAAACTAAACTATTTTTTAATACCAAATAGTTTTAGTTGTTCAATTTTGTTAAAATATTTCTGTTTTTCTTTTAGATTTCTTTTATTTTGGATTGGGGACACTATCTTTTTATTTGTATTTACTATCAAAATACATTTGTGTAATAAAAAAATGATTTTTCTCTCTCATTGAAATATATAAAATGGGCATTACTTATATCTTTAAAGCAGGGTTCGTTGATTTAAATCACGATTTAAATCATGATTTAAATCAAATGATTTTTTTTTAAAAAATCATTGATTTAAATCAAATGATTTTTTTAAAAAAATCATTGATTTAAATCAACTAATTTTTTTTATCTATATGTATTGATTTTAAAAGTTTAAAAACAATGTTTTAAATTTTTGATACTTTTATTATTTTCTTTTCTTAGCATTAAAATTTAATTTAAATAAATTGCTGCATTAATTAATTTTAGTTAACGAAATTACTTTCTTGGTGTGTGTTAAATTCCAACACATTTGTAATTACATTTTTAAAAATATTTTGATTCTTGAGATTGAAAGTACAGATTAAAGTAAACATTTAATACTGTCTTAATATAGACTTGCATAGCTGTAGAAAGTAATTAATAAACATGAATTTTTTTCAAAAAATAATACAAATAATGTTAATTAAAATTCTACCTTTTGAATGAAAAAGCGTGAATTAAAATCTATATCATATTTTATTGGTGGAAAATGTATATTTCTGAAGCTTGAGGTTATATTAAAAAGAAATTACCCTAATATGCCAAAAACAGAAAAAGAAAAAAAAAGGGCTGATGAATTCAGATGTTTTTTTTCTAATATAGTGTCATTCTTCCCTTTCAAAGTCTTTCAAAGTCTATTTGATGCAGTAGGGTTATTAACTGGTATTTTTTTCTCATAATATGTTTACAGTATCTTTGACATTATCTGATTTTCTATAAAGAAATTTTGTGAAAAAAAATTCCAATGAGTACATAGATTTTCTAATTTTTTTTTAAGCTTAACTTATCTATTTTGATATAGAATTAAAAATGAATATTTTAATGTAAAAATATATAGATTAAATATTTATTTATTTTTTGATGAATGACTACATTTATGAACACAATCTGCTTCATTTATTTTGCCATTTTAAAAATCAAGAGAAAAAAAAAAGAAATCACAATTTTAAATTAAAGTTATGGTTTGCTAACTGAAACTTTGTTTTAATAGTTAAAGTACAGGGGTCTGTCCAAGCCAAATTTACTACCGTTTAACGGTACCTTTACAAATTCAACTTTAGGAAAAATGATAGAATAATCACACAAAATACTTTTTCTTAAAATTTTATTTTTGTGTCTCGTAAGAAACAATAAATCCATATTTTTACTATATTTGTGTTGATTTTTTAATATAATTTTTAATTTTCACAAAATAGGTACCTCTCAGAAAAACCCAGACAGACCCCTGAAGTATTCTTTAAATTCTCTATTTCATCTAGTCTTTAAATTTTAATCATGCATTTGTTTCAAAATGGTTGCTATGCATTCAAAGCCATGTATTATAATGAAAAATTATTTTAGTTAGAGCTTCTAAAATATTGTTACAATATAGTTTTAATATTAAGTTAATTTGATTAAACATTTATAATTTTTTTTAATCATAAATTAAAGTTCTTACAGTGTATTTGAATAAAAATCAAAAAAATCTGATTTAAATCAAAAAAATCCGATTTAAATCAAAAAAATCTGATTCTTTTGATTTTTTTTAAAAAAATCAAAAAAATCGCGAACCCTGCTTTAAAGTAGCTAATGTTAGGAATTAAGTGGGATGTTTTTTAATGAATACTAATTAATGTTTCTTTGCGTGTGCTTAATATTACCTTTAACTGAATTAATTGAAAAGACATATTAGAACTATGTATCCATTTTTTCTGCTGCATCTGAGAAAATTGTGTGTGTTTTCTTTAGAAAAAATATTGAGAAATTTTTTAAAAATTAACAAAACAAAAATGGCGATGAATGTGATATATCTGCAAATATTAGTTCTTAAAAGTATTTGTATTAGGTGGTTCCATCTTAAGCTGTACTTCATAATCTGTGTTTGCAGTGTCTGTTATGTTGCTCATCAAAAAGCATATTCTCTCTCCTTTATGTAGTTGAAAGAAATCAAAAAAAGAAGAAAAAAAATAGTATTAATGGCAATGAATGACATATTTAACATAAGCGATATATAATAATAAATGAAATTTCACTAATCCCTAAATTGAAAAATTTTTAAACTGAGCATAAAATTTGGAAATAATAAATCTATAATTTGACTAATCAGTTGATTTTACTTTAGCTTTTTTTTTTTTTTTGTTACAGAATAAAAAAAATTTCTGTGTCCAATCCTAAAAACACATAAATATAAAAATGAACAAAAGCAATTGCTAGAGTTAGCTAGAAAAAATATTCCCATTTATATTAATTTAAAAAAAAAAAAAAAAAACTTTTACATTATAATCTTCTAAAGCTAATCTCATTGTATTGTTATACTTAAGCCAGTTCCCATTGCGTAGACAATAATTTTTTGCATTAAAGTATAATAAGTGATTGCTTAAAATAATTTAAAATGGGTTTTTTTTTCCTCCTAGCTTCGACAATATCAATACTATGGATCTGGTCTTTTATCAAATTGTGATAAGTTTTATGAACATCAAAAACTTGTTCTAGGTTCCAAAAAACTGAAGGAAAAGAAAAATGAAAAACGAAAAGGTAAAAAATTGTGTTTAATTAGCAATGGTACTTATAAATTATTTACTTGGATGTCCATATTTGCCAAATTAACAAAATTCCCTTTTATGTTCCACTCTTTATTGAATGTTTGAAAATGTGTCTTTCTCTGAAATAGAGTCAGGTGGTATATGTTTAAAAAAAAAAAACATATATTTTCTCCTTTTTAATTGAGATAATATGTTTAATATTTTTCGAGACGTTTACTGGGATTACTCAAACATTTTTATTTCAGTTTTAGAAACTGATAAAAAAAATTTAATGTCTATGAACTATTTGTTTATGATAAATTTATACAGTATGTCAGTTTAAGCTGTTGATGAACTTTCTTTTAATATCATTAATTACTGACAAAAAATATTAATTTTAGTTTGAAATGATAGAGGGACATCTAAAGATCTACATGTAAATTTAAGAATAAATTTCAAAATTCTATTTATTATTAATTATATTCTGGGATGGAGTAAAGTGGATCTATGGTTAGGCTTAGCTAAGTGTTATATGATGTGGATATTTTTTTTACTTCTCTATTCTCTTTAGTAAGTATCTAATTCTCGATATTTTATAATGAAATAACTAAAAATTTACTTGTTCGATTATAACCTTGCATAGTATGTAAGACTGAAAACAAAATATCTTTTAAATTTTATTTTTTAGAAAGAAGAATGATATAGCAATATAACTGACATATTATAAAAAATGTACTAAAATAGCATGATGGTAGAACTTAGTGAGCATATTTAAAGATATAGATGAATTTTCACTCATGTTTCTACCTTCATAAAACAGTTTATCATCCAAAAAAGAAAAAACTTTTTTAAAATGACTAAATTGAAAAAAAATACATGTGCGTAGAATTTAATGCCTATCTACAATTTTTATTTTCTTTAGCAAAATTAAAGAAAAAGACTGAAGGGAGCAAGTCTGTAAAAGAAGAATCAGTAAGTCTTTAACTTAATAGTACCTGATCTAAAAAATTTTAGTAACAAAAGTATAAATTATTATTTAATTCATTCATATAGATCATAAAAAATGACTGGGAATCTTAAAAATTATTGAATATTTCTGACTACTCTCATTTTCAATAGATCTTGAAACAAGTTTTGGATTTATGTCATGATCAAAATTTTTAAGAAGTCTTAAATTTCAGTGAAAAGTACTCAAAGATATTACTTATTTATCTTTTTCTCAAAGATCTTTGACTCATTTGGTATCATACGTTGTAAAATAAGCTTTAGTTTTCTTCTAGTTCTTTTTTATTCTGGGTATCATGGGAGAGCGACACAATTCCATCATAGTTAATGTTATTTGGTGATCATATTACCGCCTTTTGCGTGTCGTTTTTTAAACTCTGATATTTTTAATACATTATTACGACATATGAATTTCGAAGTAATCACTTTGTGACACATTTGATTCACGACAAATCCATCATAAATTCACGTCATTTCCACTTGTTATTTTCTTATTCTGATAATTTTTATACAATGCTATTACGACAATCGAGTTGCTCAATTTATGGTGTCACTTTTTGACTTGTTTAATTTAGATAGATCTATCATTTTATTTTATTTTTTTGGCAACTATTTGTCTTTTATTGTCTGTTTCTTCGTGATTTTTTCAATTCCAATGTAATCTGATGTTATGGCAACCTAATAATTACTTATCGTTTTTTCATTCAGTTCAGTATTGTTTTTAAAATCCCAATATTTTTCTAAAGTTATTATTACGATACACAACATTTTTGAAATTTGAGAATTATGCTCATTTTAAAACCTATTTATAGAATGTGTGAATTAACTGAGGAGTTATTTTTTATTTACACTTTTTATCTTTTAAAAAAAAAAAATTTTTTTCATGATAAAATTACGAACTTAGTATAATTTTGGTCTCTTTAAAAGCTATGCAAATATTTGTGAATTTTTTGATAGAAGCCCTTTACAGTTCCTAGCACCCTTTCCTTTTTAAGATCTAGAATGAATTCTGTGAGTTGATAAATTCTAAATGTTAGAAATTCTCTGAAACCTTATTTTAATCATATGCCTTGTTATGATTAAATTTTAAATATTTAAATTGTACTTTCTAATTGTATGAATCCTACTTTCCAATTGTCTGAATCATATTTACATTTATTATAGTAGTCTAATAAAATAATTTTTTGAAATTCTAAATTTTTTGTATATAGATACCATTTTTTTTTATTCTTATTTTCTAACAAGTGGTAGTTTATTGCTTTTAATTCCTTTATTGTTGTATATTATACTTTCTTTATTTTAAATATAATGTTAATCACTAGGATGTCATAACAAACAATAAAAAAGCAGAAGCAAAGGGGCGTAAAAGTGAAGATACTGGTGATACTCCTGTTCAAAAACAGCACTCAAAGAAAAAAAATTCTGTTTCTCATGAAGCTGTCATGAATATGAAAAGAAAAAGGCTATATGTTTCTATAGGAAAGAAAGAAATTGCTAGGGTATGTTTGTTTTTGTTTTTTTAATTATCTTAATTTCAAAAAGAAAAATGAATTTTTTCCTTAAGTTGAGCTATTTACTCTGATAGTGTCATAAATTCTACACTTGTTTTATTATTTGCCTATATCCCAATGCACGTTCAAGTATATTTCTCTTAAGCTAAGTTTTTTTTATAAAAGTAAGCAGTTTTTAATATTAGTTTATGCATCAAATCATTTGCTATAGAGTATCATTACTTAAGTTTTGTTATCTAAGCGTTATATTTTATTGAAAGTAAGTGTGCGAAAACATTGCATGATAATAAAATATATATATATATATATATTATTTATCTTTTATATTCAGTATTTAAAATTATTTTAAATGCAATACGCATAATTTTTATCATTTGTTTTATACTATATTAGTTGACACCCTGCTTTTAGCAGACAAAATCAATGGTGTTTATACAAATTAGTATGAAAAAACTAATTCACATAAAATCTAAATTCTTACTTCTATAAACAAGCTTAAACTGTTTTTCACCAATTAACTTTGATTATCCAAAGTAATCAAATCTACTAACTTAGTTTTTACTGTTTTTTTTTCCTTTTAGGCCCAGAAACAGATGTTTACTACACATAAAGAAACACTATCTACCGCAAAAAAGGTTTGTGTTTAAATTTATTACTATTTAATTCTTATTCTATAAAAGATCATTGTCTATGAAACTTCTTAGTATTATTATAAACATTAAAATCTAAGTATCATTTATTTCCATAACTATTATTCATTTTTAAAAAAAAGCAAGTTCTTATAAACATCTTTTTTATTATTCATATTTTTAGCTAGCCCAAGCTTGCCAAAGGGAAGTAAGAAAATCAGTCTTAGTTTCCCAAAAACTTGTTAAAGATGTCCCGGCCCGTGCTCGCCGCCTCACTAAAGAAATGATGCTGTATTGGAAACGCTATGATAAAGTGGAAAAAGAACATCGCAAAAGAGCTGAAAAAGAAGCTCAAGAGCAGTTACGTCTTGATATCGAACTCAGAGAGGTATACTCTTGTTTTGTAGTCCTTTCCAATTTCTGTTGATATAAAAATTATTATCGTTGTAAAAAAATTTTAATTCTCAAATTTGTTGTTAGGCTAAGAGGCAGCAGAGGAAGCTCAATTTTTTAATCACCCAAACCGAATTATATGCTCATTTTATGAGCCGAAAAATGTCTTCCTCTTTGAAAGATGCCCAAGAGGAGCAGATTCTTATGCAACTAGATGAACCAAAAGTTGATTCTGATGTACCTTCAACTTCGATTTTGAAAAGTGATGATGAATATAGTAAGTAATCAAAATTTTAAACATATTTGCAAAAGCATCCTATTGGTATAGTTATAAATCTGCATAATTCTGTTAAATTTCTGCTTATCTACTTTGTTTATTTATTGATTAGTTGTTATTCTTTTCTTATTATTTTAACAACAAAACAGGATACAGTAGAAGATCTATATAACGCAATTCTCCATAAACAATATTAACTTTCCAATTTCTTCCTCCGAACTTGATAAAATTTTTGGTTTTTAGTTTTAATGTTAAATATTGATAATTTTACTTTTATTCTGTAAATAATAAATACATAAGTGTATATCTTTGTGTTCTAAACTATTTGCAATTATATATTATTTTAAATCATTTATATTAATCTGTTCCAGATAAATTGACATGTTTAGTAGCTTAGTTTTATGATTTGTGAAATGATCTATCTAACACAAAATTCTTAAGTAATGCAAAGCGTCAGGTTTCAGAGTTTGTGTTATACAGATCTTCTACTGTATTATTGTAAAGTTTCTTTTGTTTCGTATAAATATGATTTTTAATTCTATTAGAAATTGTTTGTTGCAAGCCTTTTATTGTTTTATTTACTTGTGCAAGACAGAAGTCAATGGAATCATCACCCTGAGCATCTTTATAATTGTGATTGTAGTTAGTCTAATTTTATATTGGAAGTAACATCACTGTAGTATTTAAGCATATTTTGGCCACAACAGTTACGCTTGCCTTTCTTACGACTGAGTTATATTTTATAGGAGATAATTGAACTAAATCATTTTTAAAAAAATCATCACTTTATTATTTTGTAAATTTTATTAGAAACAATATGGCCGTATATAGTTATTAAAATAAAATGCTCCTGAAATGTGAAGATTTTCCTCTCATCAAGAATTTCGTAATGGTCAGGCTGAGTGGCAAAGCCCCCCACCCTAGTCCTAACGTAAAGCATTAAAAAGTGAGTGAATTGTTACCAACAAACAGTTAGGAGCATGGAAAGAGATACACGGTTAGCGATTTATCGAAAGATACAATAGCCAAAAACAAAGCCAACTCCTTTAAATTAATATTACATTTTAAATAGTTTGGCTAAGGCTAATCGCCTAAAAGACCGTGAGAATTAATATAACCCTGCCACTGAAGCATTTTTGTAGTGAGAAAAATAAAGTGTTATAAATATATTTTGATGTTTGATTTAGTCGCGAAAGTGAATCAATTAGTTTTACATTTGTATTGAATTAAAAAGTTAACTGTTACATTGATTGTTAAAAAGAGAAGAAAAAAATATTTATATTTGCTTTTTATGAAATGTAATGGAAATTAGACAGTTGGTTTAATTGAATTAAAATTAGATTATGAATGATTAAAAAAAAATTAAATTTATGAAATGAAGGAAAATTTTAAAAGCTAGGAAATATGTAATGCCTATTATGGCATCACAATAATCAAACTCTTTACTTTTCATTGATTGTTAATATTAGTTGAACAATTTTCCGTGTGCCATTTAGGCTAAAATAAGCAGCCACTATTAAACTTGGTCAAAGATGACGACATGCTTATTCGTGAAAATATAAGAATTTGTCATTAGAAGTTAGTATTCTGCTCATAAATGTTAGCACAAAATGTAGAAATGGTTTTGATCTTTCAACCAAAACTGTTTTTAAATTTTATGTTGACAACTTGATTCTTTTTCTGAAGAGGAAATTTATATAAATTTGGTATTTTATACACATGAGGGATGAAAATTTATATTTAAGTAAACATGTTCTATTAACAATGCCCAGGCCTGTGGAATTATGGCTCCAATGTTTCTGGCTTATGTGAATAATCAGTTGTTTTTATGGGACCTGTGATTTTAACTGTGTTTAACTAATTTTTGTTGAGAAAAAATTTTGCTTTTAACAAAAAGCTTAAATTTGTGTTAATCAATTTTGTTAATTTTTACAAAGACTGGCAAAATCTCATTATTATTTCAGAAAATGTTATTCTAATTCAGTCATTTGTCTGTTTTTTGTTAGATTCTGAAGAAATGAAATCTCTTGCTTTAAGAAATGCAAGTGCTGCATATAAATCACATGTGGACAAGGTATTTTTTTATTATTATTATTTGTTTAATTATTTTGAGCATTATGTAAATTTAAATGTTTTTCAAGCAAATTAATGACTGATCAATCAAACCATTTCTTTAAGTTGTAAAATTTGTTTTGAACTTATTTAAAATCTATTGTTTCTCAAAAGAATTTTTTTAACTATAAAATTAATTAGAAAAAAACTACAACTAAAATCTTCAAAATTACTCATTCTAGAAAATGTATTTATGAATTAAAATTAAAAATTTTCTATTTAAAACCTGATACTAAGAAGAAATATATGTTTTTCTTTCACACTGTTTTACCATTACATTGTACCTATTTTTTTTCTTTTTTTAAATTCTCAGATTTTTACTTGCAACCTAAAATTTTGACAATTGTATGCTAAATTTTTTTTAACCCCAAAAAATTACTTTCTTGCAAATTGTTTATAAAAAAATTTATATCCATTTTTATTATTATATATGTTAATTTCTTCTAGACTACTGCATTTGATTCTGTTATGCCTCCAACAAAAAAAGAGAATGTTGATATACTTAATGAATGTATGTATTCTACTTTTGACTTTTTTGCCCCTTTCACATGAGTGATTACTGGCTATGTATTTTTATTTAGTTTAAAACTAGATTTTTGTACAAAAATTACACTTTTAGTTTTTGCCCCAGTTACTTTTGCTTTAGTATTAAAACATTATATTTTTATTATATTCGGTTTATGATAGAAAAAAATTTAAATTATTATATGATCATATTTCAATTAAAGGAAATCTTCCCTTTTTCCAATAATAATTTTCTTTCTAATTTTTTTGTTTTCGCTTTTATTTTTAGTATATATAGTGCGTTGAAAAAAAACGGACCACCCTAAATAACTTTCAATTTAATGATCAGATCTTCGCATTCTAAGACTCAATCTTAATGGTTCAAGGTAACCTCAAATATGCTAATTAATTAGGGCAGACGATATTTTAAGTTACTAAAGCAGAGGCACTTTCTCTGATAAAGCATACTTTTTTTCAGATTTCTGAGCTCTAAAATTGGGTCCCCATAGTTTGGTCAGGAGAGCATTCCAAAGTTTGGACCAATTAATGTTGCTTTTATTGTTTGTGTATTTCACCTTATTATGAGAACATTTTAAGCGAATTGAAATATTTTTGCACACAATTTTAAATCTTAATGAATTTAAGATATATCATTTTAAAGGATGTAGTTTTGATTGAGAAAGTACAAAATTTGATTGAAATCTGTTGAATAATTCCTGAGAAATAGAATTTTAAAAATACAACTTTTTTGTTGGATAGTTGATTACTCAGAAACTATTCGTCCGATTTCCTTCAATTTTTGTGCTTTGTCATATAAATTACATCTTTTAAGATGATGTAAAAAATTGTATACCTTATAATTCAAAATTTATTTTTTACATGGAATTGTCTTTGGCCAAATGAATTTTATAATAGTGTGCAAACATGTTTTAGTTTGCTTAAAAAGTTCTCGAGATATGGCGAAATACGCAGAAAGTAAAATTAACATTAAGGGGTTCAATCTTTGGATCGCTCTCCTGACCAAATTATGGGGACCCTATTTCCCGATTACGCCCTTTATTTTGGGGGTCAGAAATCTGAAACACTCGGGGGGGGGGGTGTTTATTCAGAGAAAGTGGGTTTTTGTGTCTGATTTCCTAACTTAAAATATTGTTTGCACTAATTAATTAACATATTTAAGTCCCTCCTTCTAATCATTAAGATTGGATTAATGTCAGCAGTTTTTTTTCAATCATTTGAAATTTTCTATCATAGGAGAAGTAGCCACTGTTAAAATGCTTCAACGGGCCATTAGCGAAAGTTCCTAAATTTTCCCCTGTACCACCTGGTTTTCTTTCACAAAAAAAACACTTCTTCACTTTGTTATTCAATGAAAAAACTTAATAATATTACATTACTTATGTCAGACAAATTTCGTACAGAGTTGTCCAAGTTCAGGTGTCTGTCTACCTTCAAAAATTCAACATTAGGGAAAACGGTAGTTTCACAAAATACTTTTCCTTAAAGTTTTATTTTTGTATGCCGTAAGAAGCTATAGTTTCATATTTTTACCATTTTGATTTTTTAATATAAATTTTAATTTTCACAAATTACGTCTAAATTTTCACAAAATAGATACCTTTCAGGCAAACTAAGACAGACCCCTGAATTTACAAATCAATTAAAAGGTTACTCCCTCTTTATACATATATTTATGTGCTGTGGTTATGAAACCAAAATACTACTTTTATATATATGTTAAAATCTCTTGTTTCCTTTCAGTGGAAGAAAATTTTAATCTTACTAACCCTGCTTTTGACAATGAGGTAGATCATCCTCAGCCTCCCATGCTTGTTGGAAAACTGAAAACTTATCAGCTAAAAGTAAGTTTTGAAAGATAAATTTAAAACCAAATCATTAACAATCCTGGAAAATTCTTGCAGTTAATGAAATTTTATGTTTTCTAATTTAGGGAATGAATTGGCTCTACAGTTTGTATGATAAGGGTATCAATGGTATCTTAGCTGATGAAATGGGACTTGGGAAAACTGTGCAGACAATAGCTTTTCTAGCAACATTAATTAAAGTAAGTTAAGGTCAGGTTTTGTGTAATAATCATATTTCATTTTTGTGCAGTGCTTAGTTTAAAAAGTGATCTATAATTCTAAAAATTTGTGTTTAAAAATTAATTATTATCTGGGTCACATAATTTTTTTTTTGCTTAGTGTAAATTTTGAATGTGATTAGTAGTATATCCGTCATCTTATGATTGAGATTTATGTCCCTTTAGAAATTTAATTATTAATAAAAATAATGGTTTGATAGTAAAATGTTGTATGTGATATTACATGCGATTTTAAAAAATTCCGTCTGATTGAATAAATAAAGTAATATATAATTTAAAAAAAAAGAAATTTTTTCAATTCAAAAAATTTATATGTATATCCTAAATCTATCAATGAAATGTTAGAAACCAAATAATATTATCTGATTCAAATATATCTACAGCTTTTGCTTCTATTGATTACTTTTTGATGCTCTTTCTTTTTATAGGCTCAAGGGATATGGGGTCCATTTCTGGTAATAGCTCCAGCTTCTACATTGCATAATTGGCAACAGGAATTTGCAAAATTCGTTCCTAAATTTAAGGTAGGGAATGGTTTTTATCCTTTACCTTCTCTTCCTTGAATTTGAAGATTTAAATTTTATGATTGTAGTAGACTAATCAATGTGAGTGATCAAATTTATTTTATATTTAAAAATTTTGACATTTTATTTTTCAATTTTAAAATTAGTTGTTTCGAGTTAATATACATTTGTTTTGATTGCAGATATCAAAAGATATAACTGTTGCTATTGTACTGCAATTTTATGATAATATTAAAATACTGTAAAATCATTTTTAAAACAGTTTCTACATTCATAATAAATTATTATAATTTTAGTTTCATATTAAATTCTGGTTTATTTAGTTTCAAGATAATAGATGTAAATTAATGTTATTAAAATTAATTAATCAAGGTTGATATTATCAGTGTTTTATTATTAATTAAAAAGTAAATACTTTACATTAACAATGTTATTACGAATTGTTTTATTGAGACATGTCTTAAATCTGTTTTTGAGAACATTTTAAAAAAGCTAAAAGGAAAAATTTATCTTCAAGGATAATTTTTACAGCTGTATTTTTTTTTTTTTTTTTTTTTTTTTTTTTTTTTTTTTTTATTTTTTTTTTTTTTTTNTTTTTTTTTTTTTTTTTTTTTTTTTTTTGTGCAATTTTCTTAAAAAATACTGCTTTTTATATTTAATAAAACTTTTGAATCTGCATGTTTTAAAAAAAATTTAACCATAAGATTCAAATTAAAACTCTTAATAAGCCTTAACTATTTTCTTTATAAAAGGTTCTGCCCTATTGGGGTAACACCAATGATCGTAAAATTTTAAGAAAATTCTGGAGTCAAAAAGATCTGCACACAGAAAATGCCTCATTCCATGTCTTAATTACAAGTTACCAGCTAGTAGTGCAAGATGTGAAGTATTTCCAACGTATCAAGTGGCAATACATGGTCTTGGATGAGGCTCAAGCTATCAAAAGTACATCTAGGTAAACTTATGTTTTTGATATAGTTTCTTAGTAATTCAGGGTGGCACCCACCTGGAATTATCAGGGAATTTTTTTTTTTTTTTTATACTGGAAAAGTCAGGGAAATTTGATTAAAAACATGAAAAAATTAGGGAATTTTAAAGAAAAGCTGGAATTTTTCTTAATTTGAATTATTTTACCATCCGTTATACCCACTTTATTTAGACTGAAATTTATCTTCAAACAGTTGAAATATCATCAACTTAGTTATACTTTGCTTGCATTAAAATTATTTCCATTATTACCCTGCCAAACTAGAATTTAGCAGAATTACTAGAAAATTATTAAATTTAAGAAAATATTGCTGAAATATGAGTTTTATTTACATTGTTGTTAATATATCTTGCATAGTTAAAATTAGTTGTGATTTTTTAACTAACTTTTACAAGATGGAAAATTGTATAAACACATAGATCTATCCATTCCAACCGGAAAAACGCAATTTTAAAAAAATTTGGATCACTGTATTTGCTATTTGGTACATTTTGTGCAATAACTACAAAACTATCACTTTAAAATATTTTTTATTCATTAAAAGTACAAGCTAATTTTGCAAGCTAAACATATTATTTTCTTCACATCTATTCAAGATGATACATTTAAAAAATAACATTTTAAATAAAATACTTTATAATATTGACACTTTTCTTGTACCCACCTGCACTTAATGAGAGAGAAAAAACACGCTGACCTGGAAATTTTAAGATTATTACTGGAAAAATCAGGGAAATTTGAAACCTGATTTGAGTGGCCACCCTGTAGTTGTATGAAAAAAATCATTTATCTGCTAATCTGTATTAATTTGACTGTGAATTTTACATTTCTTGCTTACTGTAGAATCTCATTAATATGTAAATCTTTATTATACGATATATCATAAATTCTACTCATGCGTATTTGAAGGTAGGAGGGATCTAGTTTTTGCCAAGATTAAACTAGTTTTTAGTACTACGCAATCAAAATTTATATCACGTTAGGGTACCTAATGCAATATATTCTTGAAATATAATTGGCTAATCCTTTGAATAACTAATGATGTGTTATGATCCTACATATTTATATAAATACCTACATATATATATACCTTATATAAGTGTAAGTCTTAACTCCATTTATTAAAAAAGTAAAGTTAGTCTTATTTTAAAATTTATCCTGCTTATTTCTGCTACGTTCATTAGATTATCAAAATACTACATGTAATAGGTTCTAGAGCTCTGACTTTTATGGAATAAATCAAAATTTTTATGTATAAAACTTAACAGTTTGTTTGAATATCAATAAACATACTGAAGAAAAAAATAACCCTATAAATGATTTGTTTATTTTTTCATGATTTGAGTTGATAAGTATTGTCAGACTTTTTGTTTTTCTCCCACACTTGTGCCTGAAATAAACAGAAGTAAAATTTCCCCACTATTCAATTAGGCCTTTTATGTACTAAATTGTATTAATTCATTTAAATATACAATATTACTTATTGCAACCTGCAAACTCTATCTAGGGAATTATGATTATATAGAATTTAAAACACCAAATTACCAAACATAAATGTGACCTTTAAGTAATTTTTCCATCGTTTTAAATTTTAAGTATTATATTTTTTTGGTTTAAATGTTTATTTCCCAACTCTTACCTTTCAGTGTTCGCTGGAAAATTCTTTTAGGATTTAACTGTCGAAATAGACTGCTTTTAACCGGTACTCCTATTCAAAATAGCATGGCTGAAGTAAGTAAAAAAAAAACTTTTTTCGGCTAATTGATATAATGATGTAAAATTTTTTCCTTAGTTCATTTATTAATTTTAACAGCTTTGGGCATTGTTGCATTTTATAATGCCTACACTGTTTGATTCACATGAAGAATTCAATGAATGGTTTTCTAAAGACATAGAAAGTCATGCTGAGAATAAGTCTATGATAGATGAAAGTAAGTTTTACTAATCAATACTTTCTTTTGTTTATTTAAAATGTGAATAAATGTTGTTGTTTTTCTGTAATACCACAGTTTGATTTAAATCAAATTATATTACTATTTAATATATGTATATATTTTTAATTGAATGAATTAAACCTCTTTGGTATGTTAAAAAACAATTGTTAAAAACACAAAGTCTGTTTTTTTTTGTTTTTTTTACATATATGACTTTCAAAAGCAGCTATTGAATTTTATGGAGTTCTTCTACAAAAATATTTGATGGCAATACTTACTGATAATCTGACTGACTCCTTACTGTAAACCAATCTTTTAAACTACATATTGTTTTAATGCTGAAAATATATTTTGAATCTTAAAATGAACATAAAATCGAAAAGAAATTATCCTAAGGTAATCTTAACTATTGTCGCATTTTTTGTACTAATGTTTCAGCATTTCTTTTATTGTTAAATTTCAGAACATCTTTCAAGACTGCATAAAATATTGAAACCCTTTATGCTGCGAAGAGTGAAAAAAGATGTGGAAAATGAACTCTCTGATAAGGTACGATTTCAAATCATAAGGTTTTTCTACTCTTAATTTTCTGATCAAAATAAGTTAAAAATTTGGAATAATAGATTTTTATTATTAAATTTTTGTTATATTTTTATTTCTTAGATTGAAATACTTGTATACTGCCCTTTAACACAAAGACAGAAACAATTGTATCAGAATTTAAGAAAGAAGATAACTATAGATGATTTAATGCAGTCATCATCTACTTTGTCATCTAGTTCTCAATCTGCCACATCTCATCTGATGAATTTGGTGATGCAGTTCAGGAAAGTGAGTATTTCCCTTTTTCATATTATGATTTTATATCTTTATATTAAAGTTTAAAAAAAATAACTATTCATAACTTCCAAGCAGCAAATTTAAACACATTGTCTGTGGTATATTACATGTATGCTAAGGAGTATATACATATACTACTTTAGTCTTTAAAAAATCTTTAGTCTCCCTACCTTCTTTGAGTTATTCAGATAAGAATTTTAACTGAATAATTGGTTAAAAATAAATAGATAATTTAAGATTTTTTAAAGTAATAAACCTTCACTTAAATTAGGCAGATGCCAATTGCAGACGTGCCAACTCTCCCGCATTTTGCGGGAGTCTCCTGAATTTTGAGTTATTCTCCCGCCCTCCGGAATTGATTTGAAAAACTCCCGAATTTTACTGCGATCGACGGCCAAACTCAAAATTACCTAATTTTTCCGCGAGTGCGAAGGTAAGTTTTTCTTTCAGCTTGAATTCCATCCCCTCTTATCAAACTACCATCTGCCTGAAGCGTAGCTGAACATGCTTTATTTTCCTCCCTCTTCAACGTTACCTCTTAACACTCCTATTCCACCCGCCCCCTTACACTGGGGGCGGGTGAAATCTTCCTCTTCTTTCGTGTGGAGTTGAATGCAATGACGTCACATGTCGTTATCGAGTGACATCCGTTCAGGAGTGGGGAAACTCGTACTCTCGATAGTTGGAATTGATATTGTATCTTGCTGTTTTTAATGAGTATTTTTCCACGGTTGGCAACAAGCTCGTAAACTAGCAACGTGATATCAATTATTCGTTTAGTCTTCGTATATTTTTAAAAAAAAATTTCAAGGATGTCTTAAGTCGAAACGGAAGTATGGATCAATTTCAACAAATCATGTACCAATGACTTTAACAAGACTTAATTGCGGAGAGCTAAGTCAGCAACTCTTTTTTTCATGCATACAGTAGAGAACCATTTATCTGGTATCCAGATAATCCGGAAAAAAAATTTGCTCGGTTCTCCCGCCATTTTGAACTAAAACGATATGAGAAAAAAAAGCGGAAACTGGACTAATCCTTGAAGTTGAGTAGAGGAAAATGTGAGGAAGGGAAGAATTTTTTTCCCCGTTTACCCAGAGAAACGTCATTTCTTCCGCGACCTTGAAGATTTGAGATCTTTATTCTCTTTTAGGTCGTTAAACTCAAAGGAGTGGCATGATGATTTCGTTTGCTAATTTGATTTACGAGGGGGTGGGGAAAATGCATTGCACATGCATATCAGTGAACAGAAGACGAAAGAGAAAAATATATTTATCTATTTGACATCGATTAATAAAAATAAAATGTTTTTCTTTTGAAGTGCGGTATCATTCGCAAGTTTTTCTTGATGTGGAATCACACCTGCTTTAATTAAAAATTGCGTTTTTATAAAATAAAAAAAAAGGAGAATTGTTTATTAATTTAAGCATACAATTATTTTATGAAGCAGATTGCAGTTTCGTTTTTCTGATTCCACTACGTTTTTTTTTTCTTTTTCATGATAAATTTTGCACTCAATAAAATTATTTGTATTACCAAATTTTTTCATTAGTTTTTTTTTTTTTTTTTTAAGTCCGTTGATCTTGCCTTGTTCTAGGTTTTAATATTTATGCTAGTGCCGTTTTTTAACTATCGTTTCGGTTCGATAATTTTCAAGTGTTGTTTTTATTTAGATTAATAGGTTTTCCTTTTATTTTCGCCCCCCCATGAAATATATTGCGTTATTTAATCATTGATTTTGTTTATTAGTTGATTTAGGAATCGTAATTATTTTTTAAACTTGTTTTTCTTGTCTAAACTTGCAAATTTTTTTATTCTTTTAAATTTTATTTTTCTACAATTTTTTTCCTTTTTAGATTTAGGAGTGCTTTTCTTTTTTCTCTTACTTTAAAATGTGTTTACATTTTTTCCTTGTAATTTGGGTTTGATAAAACATCGATTAACGACACTTTTTTGTCGATCCAGGAAACCGGGAAATTAAGACATCCGGGATAGCGATGGTCCCGAGCATCCCGGATAATTGGTTCTTTATTGTACAGACATTAGTATTGAATTGGTTTTTTAAAATAAAATACTTATTCAATTTGTTTATTTTTTAAAAGTTTTTGTGTATTTTTATTACAGTGTCGGGTTTTTGAATAATGTTTTATTAAGGAAATGGTATTTATTTAAAGAGTATCTACCTAATATAGTTTTGTGTTGCTAAATCTGTGTTTAATTATTTTATTTCCATTTAATATTTTTAAACAATTATTGCTCTATTAGTGTGTAAAATTTCTTGCATTCTTATATTTAATAAATTTTTTACTTAAAATTCCTTAGAAGTGCCAAATGTTGCATACCATGCACCTTTTTTTACCCCTCCTGAAATCTCCTGAATTCTTGTTAGGGAAACTCCTGAATGTTAATTTTGCTAGGTTGGCACGTCTGCAATTGACTCCCTTCCTACACCAATTAAGAAATATTGATGGGTATTATACCAAACAAAAAGTATATTAAAAAGAAAATCTGATTTACAGGGACATAATTATCTAGTTATGTGATAGAAAGAAATAAAATTTTCAAGCATTTTATGCAAATTTCAAAGATTCTAGAGATATTCAGGTTTAAGTCTATGACATGTTCAGTGTGCTTGCCTTCAATGGTTCATTGTGGTGAGGAGTTCAATGGTTCATTGTGGTGAGGAAGTTTAAAATATAGCAAAAATTGTGGAAAACTCACTGAAGTGTCTTGAACCTTTAATGCTATTAATACATTTTTGAGTACTCTGATGATTTTGGAGTTATTTGCATTAACATAGGTTGAGAATAAGTTTACTTTCAAAATCAAATATACACTTGGTAGCACTACCTTTCAACATTTTTACCATAAATTGAACAACAAAGATGCAAGCACTCAAAAATATCCCAACATGCTCTGATTTCAACTGACTAGCTTTAATTGAATCTGGCAAACAATTCAGAAGCACTAATGGCTTTTTTTTTTTTTTTTTTTTTTTTTGTTACTAATGTCTAAAAATACAAAACACATAAAAGATATTGCATAAAATCATTTGCTCTTCCAGAATATGCAATGTTTGTCATTATTTTTACATTATTTGAAAATCTTTTGTGATGTCTTCAACTGCAAACAAAAGTTTGCCCGTGTAGTTGAAAACATTTACGACAAATTTTCTTTAGAGTTGCTCATTTTTGTTCTCTTAAACGATGTAAAAAATATTTTTAATTTGATATCTTATTTTTAGGTGTGTAATCATCCTGATTTGTTTGAGAAACGAGAAGTAAAATCTCCGTTCGCCATGAAATCATTTTCATATCATATTCCTAAACTACTTTTTAGAGAAGGTGATTATACAGTAGTAATTCTGTATAATATTATAATTCACTTAAGTTATCTACTAGTTTTGACTAAATTAATCTCTGTTTATTTTTTCAGGTCTTCTGTTCTTAAATAACTTAGAAAAGCAAAAACTAGCATTAAATACTCTTGGAATCTTCAGTGCATTTTATCTTCATAGTTCTTTATTCCCCACAGATTCTACTGAATGTAAGTAATTTTTCCTCTCCTTTTTGAGTTTCGGGTCATAAAAATTAAAAAATATGAAATTGTAGGACCCATATACATAACACAAAGCTGTACCTGTTAAAATTAGGGATGAATTAAGGTCTTATTAAAATGCAATATGGATGTCTAACTTCTATATTCAAGTACTGATAATTATTAGCTATTATTATAGCACATTTAAAACTATTTTTTAAAAAAAGCAGAATATTCTAATTTTTGTTAACGTAACATAGCTGCCATTTAGACTGGATTTTCCAGTAGACTATTGGATTTTGCCAGTTTCTCCTGGTCTACTGGTTTTTGTACATTTTAGAAAATTCCCTCAAATTGAGTAAGTTTCCAAAAAAAATCCCTATTAAAATAGAATTTTTGTACAAATTATTGTTTGCTTACTAGAATATTTAAATAAGTATTACTAATAATGAAGCAAACCTCATTTATAGAAATCACTTCAAAACTTTTATTGTCCTAAAATGTACCGTGTTTATTTTTATTCAAAACAAAACTCTTAAATTAATTTTAAAAAATCTTAACTATCTTTGCTAAATTAAATGCATAACATTTCAAGTAATACTTGTACATTAAACATACTGTATGTTTAATATCAATCGTAACTGGAAAATACTGCAATTTTTCTATTTTGATGACTATAAAAATCTCTAGAATTCCCTATGTGTAAAATATTTAGTACATTATTCAACAATTACCATGAAATTTATAATATTTCGTAAAATTTACTGGATTTTTTCTATTTGTTGGCAGCTATGAAGTAAGCATTAGAAGACAAATTTTATTACTAATGTAGTCATATTAGCAATAAAGGTTATAATTGTTATGCTTATTGCAATTTATTATTATTATAGGGTGCATATCATTTTCAAAAGGTGCTTATTTTTGATTTACTTTTTTTAAAAGCTCTTAAAAGTATTTTTTTTTTAACTCGGGTTTGTAAAAAGTGCATAATTTTCTCTGCAATATTTATCAGAAACTAGTTATTTTATCATGATTATGTAAAGTTTTTTAAAATGTATTTGAATTTGGTTTATAAATTAGGAACTTTAAATGGCAGCAAAATAATTATAAAATAAATTATAAAATTACTTGTTAAACGAAAGTTTCTTTGCAAGATTAGTCTCTTTTTTTACGTCAATTTGTTTACTAGCGACAAAACAACTCAAAATTCTAATTCAGCATAAATTATTGTTACTGCACCAGAAAAATCATACCAAATAATTTTCAAACATGAAATGAAAATATTTTTTGTACTAATAGATATTTAAAAGTCTTGTGTGTTTAGTTCAACAATAAAAAAAAAGAGTAAAATTAAATTGAGCACACATGATAGGGAAAAAAGATTAAAAAATAAATAAATAAATAAGAAGAGATAAGAATTAAGTACTAGAAAAAAATAAGAATTAAATGCATGAAAAATAAAAGTTAAATAATAATTAACTTTTTGTGATTGCAATTCAAGTAACTCTATGTAACTTAAAAGAGGACTGCATAATCGTATTTGAATTTAATCATAATCAGGGGAAAAGAGCAATATGCAACAAGAAATAATGCGATTGGTTTAGGAAAATAGGCATGGGATCTGTGATTGGATGTTGCTTATTGCTTGAGTTGCTTATAGCCAACACAACGAGAAAAACCGGTATATTTCGACGTGGATGCTTTTACAAACGTGACGTTATTAAGCTTCCCATTTTTTTTTTTTTTCTTTTCGAGAGTTTTTTTCTTCATTCTTTTATTATTGTCATTATTTTTTTGCAAAAATAAGAAATTAGGACCTTAATTTCAGTCATTTGAGGACCCCCCTAGAATTTTAAGGGGAAGCGCTTGCTTCCTGTGCCTTTTCGGTAATCAGGCCCTGCCTAAAATCTCTGGTTTGATATAACTCAGTTTCTTTTTCTTTCTTTTTTTTTACACATAGGTTATGAGCTAAAAGATTGTTCCTTCTCCTTTATGCGTTTCATTGGTTTGTCTACTGCTGAAATTTCGCAGATGTTTCTCTCTGGTCTTTTATCAAGGTAAATAACTTTTCTAAATTTGAATAACATTAAATATTTTTTATGATGTCACAAATTAATTTTTTAATAATAAAACAAAACCAATTAAATGTCACTGTCTGAGTTGGTCCTAATAAAGTTTCGAATGTTAATTTTCCTCAACTTGCACTTTTCATACATAGTAACTTGGTCTAGGAATTAGGAAGAACTTGCTAAATTTTACCAACCTCAATTTACAGCATATATTTAAAAAAATCAAAGCCTGTTTCAAATTCTTTAAAGATAACATTGCATTAACCTTTTATTTTTTTAAAAAAAAAAATTATAAATTTGAAACTTGTTAATTTTATTTACGTGTGGAGTAAAGTCTAATCAATCTAAATTGCATTTTTAAACTATTTTTTTTCATTGTAACTGTCTAAATATTTTTTGTTGTTCCTTACTAAACAAAATTTTTGTCTTCAATTTGTGTTGTTCAAGTCCAGTAATTACATAGTGCATTATATGTGTGTAATTATAATACACCCTTCGAATTTTCTTGAGTGTTTCCATCTAGATTTTTGTCTTCAATTTGTGTTGTTCAAGTCCAGTAATTACATAGTGCATTATATGTGTGTAATTATAATATACCCTTCGAATTTTCTTGAGTGTTTCCATCTAGAAAAATATTTATTCGATGGAAAGAAAAAATTTTAAAAAGTCTATTAATATTTAAGTTTTTTCTGTTTTAGGTGTGTTTTGGCTTATTTAATGTGGAAATCAGCATATAGGATACACCATAACAAAATCTGGAATCACTGTTCAAATTCTAAGTAAGCATTAATTTATAATTCAAAATATTTTTGAAAAAGAGTCTGTAATGTGCTCATGTAAACGTAAGAAAAAATAAATAAATAAACTTTCTTTATCTAGATTTTTACGAAGGGAGGATTTAGTTCTATACCCAAATTTTCCTGACTATTCATTTAGACTTTCTGACAGTGCCTCAACACCACTTGTATTTACCAGTAATGTAAATAACGTGTATGGATTTAAAAATCACTATATAACACCTGTGAAAACTGTATATAGAGAAAAAGCTAACTGTGATCTAGCTCCACTGGAACAGGTATTCCTGAAATATAATTCTGTACTTTGTAAAAATAAAAAATATGCAATTTATTTTAAAAAAAATTTAATAGAACTAGAGAAAATGTTTATTAAACATGCATGCTGCACTGTGTTTTTAATATTAACTTTTAAGTATGTAAAACGAAATGTTTGTTTTTTTTAGTCCTTAAGTTTATTTGTATAATATAATGTTAGCATATTTAAAATCAAAGTTATTTAATATTTTTTTCTACAAAGTCTAGAAAAACTTTGTGATAAACCTGTAGAATTGTTAGTAGCATTAAATGGCTAATGAAATTCAAAATGATTAATTCTAACATTGTTATTATTGTTTATTGTAAAACTTTCACTACACAAAAATGAAGTCTTATAATATCTTCAAAGTTTCCTAGATTTATGTAGATGCAAGACGTAAAATAGAAAAGAATGGCATTATCTAATTTTTAAGAAAATAATATTATTGAAATGTTTGGAAAACTTAAAAACTGTTTTTCCTACCTTAAGTTATAGAAAAAAATCATAGCAGACTGTTCTCACTTGATGCAAAAAAAATAAAAAAATTATAAGAGTGAGAGCCTGATCGGAGAAATATTTTTACATGCTAAAACTTCCATCCTCTCATTTGCATATTACAAGAAAATCTCGGGCAACAAAAATGATCTAACACACATTTTTCCACCTTATATGATGTGTTACTTTTAAAAAAATGTAATGCAGTAGTATAATCTGTATTTGTGTTTTAAGTTTTGAAAAATCTTCTCTTAAGGGCAAATTTTAAAATAATCAAGATTACTTACATTGGGAAGAGGTATCATTTCTAGATAAAAGCAATTTTAAAGTTAATGTAATATTTGTTGTAATTCTTACTCTAATATCATCAATATTCAAGTTTCAATTAATGGGATTGATTAATATTACCACTTTATTCCTAAATTCTTGTTTGGTTGTATCATTTTAACTAAAATCTCTTAACAGAAGCTAAATATCTCAAATTATTCTCTTGCCTGCATTATACTCTTCCTTGGTTTTTGAACTTGTATAACTGTACTTAGTAATGTTTCTATTTGTTGATTGTCTCAAAATAAATCTCACAAACTTTATTTTCAGCAAAATACAGATCAGACGTCTTCTGGTTGCTGTGTTAGAGAGCTTCAAATGTCTAGTCCTCCTGCATTTTTGACTAATTTATCTTCTAAGGTAATTCCTTTAATTCAATTTAATATTTTTTTTCCAAATGAAGATAGGGTATACTTTGTACTAAGTATAAATAGGGCACAAAAACAGACCGACTATAATTCTGGCTCTACAAAATAGTTGATGTGAGGAGGGAAGCAGCTCAAATATTGCATAAGCACCTAACGGGCAAAGGGGTGTAAAGGAAGAATTTTAGAAGGGGTTTTTTTTTTTTTTTTTTTTTTGTTAAAGCTGTTATTGCTATGTTTTTATGCATAACTTTGAAGATTTGGATATTTTAATTATGATATTATTATGACACACGAGTTTCCAATCACTGCATTCAAATAATCACTTTTGATACGATTTATTTGTGCAGATATCACTATAAATCTTCTCCCTTTTTTTGCAGTTATTATTTACCACATTATTATAACATGTGAAATTCAAAAACTTTAGGGAACTCAAGTTTTAAACAGCTCTTTGTTTGTAATTTTCAGCTTAAGTAGTCTTTTTTTTTTTTTTTTTTTTTTAAAGAGAATTAAGCAAAAAAAACATTTTAAACGTTTACTATTTAACATTTATGAAATCTTTAATGATTCAGTTAATATAAATATCCTAGATTAAGTACACTAGCATGCAAAAGTTTTTGGTCAACACGTAAAAAGCATTGTAACCTTTTCTATGCAGGTTTTTTTTTTTTTTAAGAGATGATTTCAGTTTTATTTTGTGAAACCAACATATATATTACACTTGATTTCAGAATTTTTACTTTTCTTGCAATTTAATGGAAAATAATGTAATCTTCTTTGGATTAAATTTAAATCTTTGCACTCAGTTCAGTTGAATATTTCTTTTTTATATAATTAGTCTTGAAAGAACTAGTTCTTCAAAAATAAATATGCAAAACTTATGCTTATTTGTTAAAATTGTATCTTTCAATTGTATTTTCATCCAATTTTTAGATGTAAGAAAAACAAATACCCGACTAATATGAAAATTGCATTTGATTTAAAGTTAATTTGAAAGCGCTAACTTTGCATTCTGGTTGATAATCATATTAAGAATGTTCAGGAATAAAATTATACATTATTTATCACATTTCCACTCAACCATCTATAATATTGAGTTAGACCAAAGACTTTTGCATGCTAGTGTATGTTCCCAACTAAATATTAAATCTTATTTTGTAGATTACACTATGATAGTTTTACTTTAAGTTTAAATATTTTAAGCCTTATGAATTTTCCGTAATTGATTTTTTTTTCTTTCGTTTGGTGACCATTGCAGTTCTTGTGTTTGAATTAGTTTTGATATGAACTCTTATATTGTGTGATGTGATAAAGAAGAACCATTACTTTTCTCCAATGTTTGTTTTGATTTTAAAAAAAAATATTATAATTTTTATATAAAAGGTATGTTTTTAAAATGTATACATTTTCTTTCCTTTTTTTTAAAGAATTCCTTTAATAAAAAATATTTAATTTTCTGCAAGTTTTTTAATAAGTAAATGCATGAATGAACAATTTTTTTTTTTTTTTCCTTTGCTAAGTTTCAAGGAAAAAAATATTTTTGAAGCATGTTACGTTATAAATAAATTTAAAAATTTCAGATGGAAAAAACTTGAATGTTGTGACTCTGCAAAAGAAACCTAACTGCAAACCTACACGTGTGCTTAGGGAAATTAAAAATCTGAAACAATTAGTTCAGGCTATAAAAAATACTAGTGATTAAATATTTAATCATCAAATGTCTTACGACAAAAGTGAAATGCAAAATTTTAAACTAAAATTTCAATGGTAGATTAATACATTTTCAAATACTAAACAAAAATTATTTTGAAGCAATTCGTATAAGTTTTCTTTTTTGTTATGTTACAGGTTATAGCTGAAGCAGTTACTGTCTACTCGTCAGATCGTAGTGCAGAGTGGTGGTTTAGCAGAAATAAATTGTGTGGATCTGTACAGGCTTTAAGGACAATTTTATATGGATCTCCTGATTTAACAGCTGTAAAAGTAAAAATGCAATCTGTGATGTTTCACCCTCCACCCCTTGGAGGTATTAATGCAATCAGATTACAGAATGGCTGGTCTAAAATAATCATTGCTGGTAAATATTTTCCACATTTTACTGAACTTTTCTATTTGAAAACTTGTACAGTTTTATCATTCATTTTAATTCATATCAGGGTTTATTGTATTCCAGATGTACCCTGAAATTCTGGGTTTTGCGTATCATTCTTCTGGGTGGTCTAAAAGCAGGGCATGAGATTTGTTCGCAAAAATCACGAGTATTGCATTGTATCTTCAGCGGTATGCGGACTTCCGCGAATCATAAACTTATAATCCGTCAAAGTTTTGCTATATTCTGTTACAAGATGTTTCCATACACAGGATTCTTCCGCTAATTCGATTAATTTTGTATGGCAGGTTATTGCCATTTTGAATCTTTGGAACTGGGTCGGAATCTGTATATGTCACATCTGTATATAAATGTTGCTATTAACACGTGATTATATTTCTTGTTAAAATATTTATTCCTAATTTCTACTTTGAATAATGTAGTTTGAAATAGAATTTAAGAATTCAGACATTTGAATTTGTAGATTTGCGAATTAACTAATAAGTATCACAAAATATATGTTAAGTGATTAAGTAAATGTATTATTAAATATATTAATCCATAAGGAATATAGTTAGTGCTTAACTAAAGAAAGTAATTTTATTGAATTGTTCTTATACTACGATTTCAGAAGAACTGCTATGAAAAATAAAAGAATTTGTAGAAATTTGATGTATAAAAATCTGTGTTCAATTATTTATTTAGTTTAAAGTCCAATTATCTATCAAAGTATTACCCGCCAGTTTGCATAGAAGTTTTTTATTTTGTTAACATATTTCACTACTGTTACTATACAGAAAACAGTATGGCACTAATTCTCTTAATTGTTTTTAAAACTTAATTTTTTGAAATTTCAGCAAAAAAGTTGCACTATTTTTTTTTTTTTTTTTTTAGCAATTGGGAATAGTTGTCTTCTTAATGTCAAAAAATAGCCTTAAAAGGCATAATTTCTATAATTTAAGTTCTAAATTTAAGCTGTGGGTATATGTTATATTAGAATATAATTTATTTTATATTTGAGATTTGTGGAGCAGTAATATTTCGTATGTTGAATGATTCAGTAACACTAATAAAATATACTTTTTCCCTCTACATTTTTAGATAAAGAGACTCTTGTAACAGATTCTGGTAAACTTCAAGTTCTTGACAATTTGCTGACTCGTCTGAAAGCTGACAGTCATAGAGTTCTGATTTATTCGCAGATGACTCGAATGATTGATATTCTTGAGGTAATTTTTTTTTATTATATGGAATTGTTTTTTTATTTGTTAAGTTTTAGTTTAGTTTGAGGCAAAAAAGTTTATAAAAGTTTTATATAAAAAAAAATTAAATTACGTAAAAGCTCTGTATTATAACTGCATGTTCATTTGCTGAAATGTTTGTTTTCGAGAATATGAAAAAAAATCTACTAAAGCTTTTAATACATAAATCATACTTTTTGATAAATGTTTGCTTTAATAACATAACTACCTGTTTCTTAATTCCTAAAATTGATTTCAAAGTTTTAAAAAAAGGAGTTTATTAATGTGTGTTTTTATCAAACGTAGAATAATTCAAAAAAATTAAAATTGCAAAATTATTTTACTAGAAGGTTAAAATTACTATAAGCACAATGATGAACCTGCATGTATAGGGTAATTGCATAATCTTGGTTATTTTTAATAGTTTATAACTCTTAAAATCAACTCAGCATTTTCAAGATTGACCTGATTTTTTTTAAATTAGCTTGAAACGAAACTAACTTCACATGATTAAAAAAGAGGCGAGGGGTTGCTTATGATGTCAGAATCCACATCCTGGGTGAACGAAATTAGTAAAACCACATTTTGTTCTAGAGTGAAGTAATGCTGTTTACAAAAGTGTTTTATTTTTGACAAAATTGTGTTAACTTTTTGATATAATGCAGACAGCAGTGTTTTCATCATAGAAAAAAAATGGGTGAGAATTTCTCACCCTTTCTCAAAAGCAGGGTGAGATTTCAAAAAGTTAAGTGAGATTTCTAAAAACTAAAAAAACACAAAAACTCTTGAAAAAAAAATCAGTTCTTTAATTATAATACATTTTTAACGTCTTCTATTTTTTAAAGCATTGAATATTTTTGGTGCATCATCATAGAAGATTTTGCCTTTACAAGGTATTTGTCCATCT